CTGGCCGTGAATGGGATCAGCGAGGGCTATATGTTCGCCACAAACACCAGTCGGGATATCGACAAGTACAACTATCTGATGGCCATCTTTTCGATCAGCTTCCTGGTGCTGTCCTACATTTTGACGGGGATATTTGGCCCGGTGGGCTTCATCTTCGCGAACTGCATAAACATGCTGAGCAGGATTCTGTACAGCACCTATTATATCAGGCATCAGTATCGACCGCTTTCGCTGGATCCGCTGCTGGGCCTCTGGCCGGGGAAACTCTTCGGAGGCACGCTCTTCCTGGCCGGGATCGTCTGTTATTGGGTAAGTTTTGGAAGGTATTTCTCGGGAGTATACTGCTCTTTTCACACTTGTCCCCACTCTTTGCAGTACCAAAGTTCTGGCCTTGCCACACATCTGGGCGTGGGTGTCCTGGCTGGGCTAGCCTGCCTTCTGTCCTGGGCACTGTCGCATCGGGATCTGGTGCGTCTGGCCTGGCGTTATGGACGCCGCATTAAGATCGATTAGGGGCCTTGCTGTTTGGATTGATTTCCTCGCTTCCCTCGCACAGACGAACCGCAATAAAACGCACAGTTTGAGAAATTACAACATATTTATACATAGCTGACAATTGTAAATTAATTCCAAAATTAAGTTGTGTACTTATTGAGTGTTTGTAGAGCCTTGATTGCTTATTTAACGTTAAGACATGCATTAAAAGACAACGATTACTGTTTACAAACGAATCTTTCAATTACAAGGAATGCATTTCTTGGGTTCAAATTTTTATTTTTGAGGCATTTCAACATTCTTGGGAATTATGGAGAAATCTAAATCCTCTTGTCAGCAATAGGTATTTGCTTTTTTACATAACCAACAACATCATTTTTTGTTGGCTAGAGCAATGCTTTCTAAATATAACTCGCTATTTAGGTAAACATATTCAGATAATCCTTCCTTCGTAAAACTCAAATCTGAAATTTCTAGCTTAGCTATTCTTGTATTCTTTGTTTTCAAAGTCATAATAACATTCTTAAGAATAACGAAGGAAAATTGACTGCCTATTATCCACAATACTTAAGAGATCGTTATTTCTTCAATGATTAGATAATCATCCCAATTCAGTACATTCTTTAACCTAGTTTTGAATGGCTGTAGTAAATGAAATTGCTTAAATGAGCAATTTTTTTCTGGAGCTCTTCTATTGTCCTGAATTTGCCAGGTTAATTCAGTGAGACACAGAAAACAGACTTAAGAAACGCTGTAATTCGGCAGAAAACATTTGAGATAGTTTTATCCCGATAACTTTAAAACCAATAGATTGGTTTACTCGGCTACTGGTGCTGATCAAGAATACATACATACATACATATGTATTCTTTATGTGTTCGGGAAGGACCTTTCACTGCATAGCAAACTTCCGTCCAAAATTATAATATCCTCTGCAATGGTATACAATTGTTGGCATCTATTTAAGTACCATGATTTACTTAACATATTACGGTTTGTTTTCTCGTTCGCTTGTGTACCTAAAATTAGTATTCAAGCTTAGAAAACATGGAAATTTAGAATTTAAAATCTTGTTTTAGTTAAATATGCCGACGAGAAAACGAGTCTAAATAACGCGTTCCCATAAATAAACATAGGTACATGATTTCCATATTTAATTTTCATTACTTGCCCACCACCAGCTTATCAATAACATTAAAAGGAGGCATATCTTTATATTTAATTAATTTCAAAATATTTAATATCAAGACGAAAAGTTTGTAGATAACGTATTAACGCGTCCAACGGCGGAGTGAGTAAAAAAATACCAACAGGCCAGTAATAAATAATCATAATTATATGCAAAGCTGCGGCGAAGAGTTAATGAAAAAGTGTTAATCCAAAATGCAAAAGACCCATGAAATAAAAGAGTGTGTAATAGAAGCCCATGGTACAGAGTAATGTTTAGGGGAAATACAAATATTGGAGCAAATTACGAAAATACTAGCCCGCTGAAACTGGTCTTACCAATACCTGGCTGGTATTTGAACTTGGCGGTGACGGTCACACTCCATCCGAGCGCGCAAGTAATTTTTGTTTTGTTTGCAACGCTTTCCGAGGACTCAGCGGCGACCATGAAGCGAACCAAGGACGAGGACAAGGAGGAGGCGCCGGCCCAACCGGCGGCGCACAACAGCAGTGCCGGCAGCAACGGTCACGAAGCCACATCTCCCGTGGCCACCACTGCATCGGCGGCCACTTCATCCGCAGCCGTTTCGGATGCTTCGATACCAGGAGCCTCCGTTCGCACGACGGGCCGCGTCAAGGTGAGTGTGGCCTGCATCTCTGCCACTGTCAACACTCCGGCTCACCATCCATCCATCTGCTACAGAAACCCAAGCAGGTGTACGATCCCTCGGACAACTATGTGTCCCGAGCCAGCAGTCGCAATTCCCTTGGCGGAACAGCGGCATCTTCAGCCGCTGCTGTTGCTGCGTCCACCGGCAATGTCCAGTCACCACCTGCCAACGTAACTGCCAAGGAGACCAGCGATTCGCAGGAGTCCACACCCAGTCCGGCCGTTTCGGAGCAGCAGGCGGCGCAGAATCGCAACTTCGACACGTGCCAGAAGTGTGGCAAAAGCGAACCCAAACGCGGCTCCGGTCACAAGAGCAACTTTCTCACCTGCAAAGGATGCATGCAGAAATGTAAATATCTATCAGTGTTCCACTTTACTATAGAAAAACGGATTTCTATCTTACTTAAGTCCTGGTATCAGATTTTCAAGAAAGGATATGATGGCAGAATTGGTTTTTAAAGTTTATAATTCACAAGATCCGGAAAAATTGCTGCAGGGAAAATAAAGTTTTTGATTTATACAGTGTTCGTAGCAGGCAAATAAATACGTTATAGCATGATTAAGAATACATACCAATTAGCAGTGTCATGACTACAGAAACATCGTCCATATCCCCACTTTATGCAACTAGTAACTTAAGATAAGATCAAATGTTTGCAACGGATAGACAAAGTAGATTGTATGCCTCTGTTAGTATTATAGTTATTTGGGTCAATGGCTTATGATATGAAGTCTTGATAGTTGTTAATTCATTTTAAAATGTCTCTTATTTAGTGACTTCACAGTTAATTTGTAAGAGTACGAAGTATTCCGCTTGTATGTTGTTTGGCTAATATCACTCCTAACATCTCCACAGCTTAATGATGAAACAAACCCTTATTTTCTTTGCAATTACTGTTCACAAAGATAGTAAAAGGCAATGCAGCTCACAGAGAACACTATATAATTTTACAAAAATAGTTGGGTATCATTGTATTAGGCCAAGTGTGTCTGTCAAATCAAAGTTCACATTTGACAACTTTTTCTTTTTGCTGTCAATGTTATAAGAGATTTTTGTCAAGGACTAATAGTCCAGTATCCGGTCAATGCGACATTACTGTCTGCAACTAGCAGCCAAATCATCCATCAAATGATTTAAAATATAAAAAATCTGTATCAATATGTATCACCACCCTTTTTTCGTCTTCTTTCAGGGCACTTTCCGTGTTTGCCGATCCATTTCCAGAATCAGAGCACGGCCCGCAAGAAGTACAAGTGCGACAAGTGTCGCTACTGCCAGGTGTGCAACGTTAAGGGCCGGGATCTGCCCATTTGCAGTGTGTGCGTGGAGGCCTACCATGCGGACTGCAACGATCCCACCATCAAGCAATACAAAGTCGTCGATACCAATCCCAAGTGGAAGTGTTTCCGATGCGAGGCGAGCAATAGTGGCAATAACACCAGCCCGTCCAGCGAGGAGCAGACGGGGGGCAGGAAATCTAATGCGAGCCGTGACGAACCTCCAGTAGTGCCAAGGAAATCGAATGCGGGCCGGAAAAAGCGTGTCCAATCTGATCCCACTGGTCAAGAGAAGCCAGCGAAGATTGAAAAGCTGGGAAAACGAAGTCCGCCGCCGAAACCAGAAGAGAAAAAAGATAAGAAGGAGGAAAGGAAGGAAGAAAAGAAGGAGGCCAAGAAGGAAGAGCTGCCTGAACAACCAGCTGAGGTCAAGGTAGAGAAGGTCGAGAAGGAGGAGGCGGAGGCGGAGGAGATCGTGCCTGTGCAGCCGGAGAATCAAGACCAGCCTGAGCAAAGTCAGGAATCGCCTCCCTCACGTCTTTCGCCACCGCCACCTGCAGCTGCAGAAAGCCCCGTGGACATAAAGGCCCAGCCGGTAGCCACCTGGTCCGTGGAACAGGTCGTCGGCTTTGTTGCCCAGCACTATCCAAAGGAGGCGAACGTGTTCCGATACCAGGACATCGATGGCGCCTCCCTGCTGCTGCTCACCCGCCAGGATGTGATGAACGGCTTTGGCCTGAAGCTGGGCCCGGCGCTGCGCGTCTTCGAACTGGTTATGTCCCTGCAGAGTCGCTCTGATGACGTGAGACTCGCCTGGTTCGAGTAACGTCCCCACCTCGTTAGCACCTAAGGTCATGCACCATATTGTAACTTTAATTCAATACTCTCATCTGGAGCCATCGCTTACCCGGTGGCAACTCGTAAAGCTTATATTAAGTCTTCTGCCGGATGACTTCAATTTTGTTCCAGTTTTTAAGATGTTCTGTAATTCTACACTTGCAAATGCAAATACTTTGTAAATGATATCTGCTAATTTGCAAAAAAATTATATGACTTTTATTTGAATTATTTTTTATTAGTGGGGAAGGCCAACAGTTTCCTAGTTTATTAACGTGAGCTATCAAAAAGTTAGATAAACCAAGGCACGTGACAATTCTGTGGGCAATTAGCCTCATTAAAGAGTTTGGGACGGTGTCATTAAAAAGTAACGAGCATTTAAGTTTAACGACTTGGAATTCTTTAGTTAAAATAGGTAGTCCTTCAGATTTCCAGGAAATACATATAATTTTAATGTTTTTTTTTGTCAATAATTAAAATAAATACATATAATTTTTTAATTGTCTTTAATTCTACTAATTTTGTCTTTACACCTACTCCCAAATTAAAAACCTTTTTATAATTTGTCTTATTTTTATTTGAACAAAATGACAAAAAATTGAGAGTTGCGTTGACTCGATATGGAATCATACTTATAACGCTTGGCGAGTAATTCGACTTTAGTACAAATATTACAATTTTCGAAAACAGGAAAGATGATAATGTATAATTGCACATTAAATATAATAGTAATGGGGTGCAAAAAATCTTTTTTGGACAACTCGAAGCTTTTAATAACGATATATAGGTTATTTAGATATTTTCGGAATAAAGAGCTTTATATAAAAAAACGTTTTGTAAAAATAATTGAAAAATACTGCGGGGAATTGTCCAAAATTCTCTTGTAACATTAAAACTATGAATTGTTATGAGTTCTCAACCTAATCAACTCCAAGTTGATATTTACAAAAGAATAGGTAAAGAAAATGTGTCCAGTAAACGTTTTCGGTATTCCTTTGCTTTTATAAAGTAACAACTAAAATGATATATAAAATTGTGCATTTCGAATTTATCATTTTATATTCTATACTTCACGTTAGCTATTGAATACCCTAATTGTATTTAAATTACATAAATAATTAAGTATTTGCTTTACATTAGAACTATCGTTTCCAAGGGGAAAGTGCTACGAATTGTCCAGACATTAATATCCACCCTAACATATATACACACAACGTGGGGAATATCAAGAACATTAGATGCAATCATCGAACGGCCTCCGGGTTGTAGACAAATACTGTTGACAGATCCGGATTCCTCCAGAGCTAGACGCGTGGCAGCAGCTTCTCCTCATCGCCGCCAGGACCCTGCATAGTCGACTTTGGCGCCGATCTGCCCGGATCATAGCCATATAGGAAGATCGAAGCGATGACCAGACCAGCTCCGAAGCTGAACTGCAGCGTGAGATTGAAGTCAAAGATGTAGATGGAGGCCACACATGAGATAATGATGGCCAGCGAGGTGGCGAAGCCCTTCAGAATGTTGTCCGCATACTTGACCACCACGGCCACTATCAAGCCACCGCCGGCCTGCAGCAGAACTAGATACCAGACGAACATATCGTAGCCATTGAAGAATCCCCGGTCGAAGATCCTGCTGCCGTCGTTTACAAAGCAGGTGATCAGTCCGAAGGGAATGCTGAGCAGACTCAACTGAACGTTCCTCATCCACACAGAGATCTCGGCGCCCTTGAGGATCTTCTCAAAGTAGATGCCCGCAAATCCAGAAAGGAAACAGGCGCCCAGTGCGGCCCACAGACCCAGCATTCTGTTCTGTTCGGGCGCTCCTCCAGAGGAGGCTGCCGTGGCCGCTGCTGCAGCTCCACCGGCTGAGCCACTCGATGGTCCCACTGTTTGGGCCAACTGCACCAGGACAATGCCCATCACCAGGAGCAGCAACGCACCCCACTGTGTGTTGAGCAGCTTGCGGCGCAGGATCACAACAGCAAACATGGCCGTGGTGAGGATCTTCAGCTGGTACGTCACCTGGTAGGTGGCTGCATCCAAGTGGGAGGCGGATACATACAGCAGGTTGTTTTGGACGATGTAGACCAGCGAGGGCACACACACCTTCAGCGTGTCCATGGGATTGGCAATGATGGTCTTGTGCAGCGAACGGACGAACTTCTGGGCATCCTTGCCCTCCTCGTTGAAGACCAGGAACAGGCACGTGATCAGCTTGGCAAACTCGGCCATTAGCACGGCTGCAAGCGGAGGTGATAAAAGAAATCAGTCAAGTTTCGGAAGAAAGTGATAAAGCCTATGGCAATTAAGCCTACTCAGCTACTTCCATTAAAATTTGATTGTAGTTTTTTTGGATTTTCTAATGAGTCAAACTACCCTAATTGTCCTCGATACAATTATAAAAGTATATATATGTATATGTAGCTTATCTATGCCACACTAATTAAGAATCAAAACAATCCGAACATAATAAAAAACAGATCGAATTACGTGTTTGAAATTTCGGGATCCCTAGCCTTAGCAGTAGGTTATACAAAATATTGTAGAACTTGTATCTAGTTAGAATTGAAGACGACATTTTTCCAAAACATTGATTTTTAATTCGAAAAACCCAGATTCAGAACTACTAACATTTATTTCCTCTTGTTAAAATTGGTAAAAACAGAATATTAAAACATTTGAAATGCATCACATTTATCCAAAATCGTTTCAAGAAGTAAATTAAAAAAAGATTTAATTTGAGAGAACCCAAACTATTTGTATGTATTTTAGGTAAGTGAAAAATAATCAACTATGTATTTTTTAAGTACATTTACTTAAAGATCAGAAAACCGAACGAACAGAAAAATGTGAGCCAAGAACCTTTAAAGAACCCTGGAGAATAGCACCATTAGAAGACGCAAACAATGTTATCTAACTATTAGGTGCCACATGCGGAAGTGGCTGCTTATCAGCTTCCTCGGCCATTCCACATCTCCCCGAACCACTACTGCTACTACTCCTCCTCCCACTCCATTTTCTGTGGCTTTTTCTGCTGATGTTACTGCTTGCGTGGACAGACCCACGTTGAGGTTTCGTGGAACTGCCGCTCGGCCACCGGTTGAACCTGATGAACCCGGTCAACCGGATGACCCCGTTGACACCTGCTAGCACTCACCCGTGGAGCTGAGGAAGATGTCGCCTGGTCGGGTGCGGGCATACCGCATGCTGAGGCCCAGGATCGCATTCTGCAGGGTCAGCGTCAGCAGGCTGATGTACTTCAGGGTATTGGCGTTCACTGGTCGATGGGAATAGGAATAGGAGACGGGGGCGGGCAGGAGCGCCATGTCAGTATCGCTGGAGCAACGCCACTCGACTAAAGGCCATATACTCACTGTGTATATTCATGCTGCTCCGCGTCAAACTCCCTTGTTTTTTGCCCAACTCTAAAACCAATAAAAACCAAAGGCAAACAAATGCCGGAGTTGGTTTGGTACACAATGTGTGGATTCAGTTTCTGGCCAAGATCAGTCGACGGCTGGCCGTTCCGTTTGGCGGTTCGTTCCGTGCGATTTGGTTTGGCTGTGGCTTTGGCCAGAAGAGCAGAAGAGAAGACGACTCCACACCGGACCGGGCGACACGTAAACAACAATCTGAGCCCGAAGCTTCTGCCAGCGGCGACTTTTTTATCGCCGCCCATGTGGTTGTTGTTGCCGCGGCCAGGGGCGTAGCTCGGATTTCAATCAGGGGGTCAGACAATTAATATAGGGAAAGCAATCTGAGTCATCTTTTTTTATTTGCACCAAGTTAAATTAAATTGAAATCTCATATTTAATACTCAAGGGGTAACCCCTTTAATCCACTGTCTCGCTACGCCTCTGCGTTCAACTGTTGTTGTTGCTTTAGCGGCAGAGGCCGGCTTTTCGATAGCCACAGTGTTGCCACTGCAGCGGTATTTGCGTGAGCATTACATCGGTGCTTGCAAAAAAGGCTAACATTTAAAAGGTGCATTAAAAGGCCTTTTATAGCTAATTAAACAAACTCATTTAAATATCTCAAGATTCTCAAGTTAAATATAAAGAACAATATTTTAAGATTCTTTTGTTTATTCTGCCTGTTCTTTTGTTGTTGACGCGATGAGAAAAGAACAAAAAGTAACAAAAGCAAACAAAAACATACTTTTCAAGTAACAATTCAGAAGCAATGAAAATTATTTGAATATTGTTCAGAAAACCACCGCACAAAGTGGGCTTACATTATTTTTATTGATACAGGTGCGGCCAAACATACGTCACAACAAGAAGTAGATGAAGGCCATTAAAACAATCACACCAAAAACAAATCCAGAGAAACCAGAAATTAGTTGACGGCTTGATGTATTTAAGACAAACTGCTTATATTTATAATTAGGGGTAATACATACATTAAATTTAGACATAAAATGTATACAAAAATTAAAAATGTTTATTTTTATTTGTTTAGCTTTTTCTATTTGCACAAAGCAGCTGATTGCAATCGAAACCGGGCTGCTCATCACTAGCGTGTGCTTTCGCCAGCTCGCTTATCGATAACACAAGTCCGTGTGCGATTTCGCTTGCATATTTACAGGTAAATACCAGGCAACTTGTTGGGCAATTGTGAAACTCAGAGAAGCCAGGTCAGGATGAGGGAACAGCCACTGAAGGAGGTCACCCAGCTGATCCACGCCATCAAAGTGGGGTAAGTCGGTGGGAAGGCATTGCATTGCGGCCGGGCACTAAAGTGGACAATCTCCTGTAGGCTGGTGGAGGGATCCTACAGCATAACCAACAAGACACTGGACATCTTCAAGTACATCATTATGAGCAAAAGCTGGCAGAATGCGGAGTGAGTTGAGCCTTTGACGACCACCCCCAAGGATGACCCACTAACTGATTCATATCCCTCCATTTTGGCAGTGCCCTCATGCAGATTGTACGCGGCCAGTGCAAAATCCTGCAGGCAGCTCTGCCCCAGGAGACGGTCACCTCGAACATTGCTAGGAGGATCCTGAAGCTAACACGCGAAGAGTTCGACCTGCTGCACGCCAAGGTGCAACACTTTGCGGACGACTCGCAGGCCTCGCTGTCGCTCCACAAACTGGTCACCCAGACAAGCGAGAGCAACGTAAGCGTGGACTACTCGGTGCCGCAACAGGGATTGCGGGAGGCCCTGCTCGACCACCTGCAGGAGGTGGAAACGGAGCTGGAAACCAGTTCGGAGAACATTTGTGTGCAGGCCGAGGAGCACATCCACTCGTCGGAGATCATATTAACCCTGGGCCACTCACGCAGCGTCGAGAACTTCCTCAAGCGGGCGATTAAGAAGCGCCAGTTCCTCACCATCATCGTGGCCGAGTGTGCGCCAGCATGTCGGGTGAGTTGGGTGATCCAAAGACCCTTTATTGACATGAGTGGGATTTGGACAAACTCTAAAGTTAGAGGAGACTGAAAACCAATAGAATAGCAGGCTCTAGTTTCTATTTCCTTATCATTATCCCCTTTTCCCATTGCAGGGTCACAATTTGGCAGCTAGCTTGGCGGCGGAGAAGAACGTGGAGATCGTTGTGATTCCAGATGCAGCCATCTTTGCAATGATGTCGCGCGTCAACAAGGTAATCATCGGCACGCACAGTGTCCTGGCCAATGGCGGTCTGAGAGCGGCCTGCGGAGCCTACACGGTGGCCTTGGCTGCCAAACACTACTCCGTGCCGGTCATCGTACTGGCGCCCATGTACAAATTGTCCCCGCTGCATCTGTGCGAGCAGGATGCCTTCAACATGGTCGGCTGTGCGGAGGATGTGATCCCCTACGATTCGATTCCCGCCCGCGAGGCCAAGGTCTACAGTCCCATGTTCGACTATGTGCCACCAGAGCTGGTTACCCTTTTCATATCCAATACGTACGTAGTGATACTTTTATATATTGCCGCCTTTCAATGGATTTATTATACTATTTATGACATTTCCCTTCAGCGGTGGCCACGCCCCCTCTTATGTGTACCGGCTACTCACGGAACTGTATCATCCCGAAGACCTGGAAATCTAAGATCGTGTTTGTCTCCTTATGTTTACGAAAATCGACTAATAAAGGTTGACCCTGAAATTTTTAGAAACAGACCTTTCCCAAATAAATTCATTAGCTTCGTGATAGTAAACATTTATAAACTCATTTTAAATTCGCCTTTGCATTCGAAAGTAAATGCCTATTTTACAGAACAACAGTGGTTACAAATAGTTTCTGATTTAACAATATTAAATAGGTGTTTAGGCTTTATTTAAAAGCCATAACAAAACATCTAACATTGCGGTGGATCGGTTTTCGCTTAAGGAATATTTTAGTTTCCACTCTTATGATTTTAGTTTCTTTCAGGTAGCTTTTTTCTTTTGATATTCCTGCTATGTAGGCTCTTGAATCTATTTTTGAATATTTTCAAGCAGCTGCGTAAAGTCCGCCAAGCTGTCTGCATAGTAATCCGGCTGGGCTTCCACCGGGGCGTTCAGCATATCCTCCTTGGTCAGGCAGCCACTGAGCACCAGGAGGGATTGGAAGCCGCAAGCCTTGCCGAACTGGACATCCTGGACCAAAGTGTCGCCGATAAAGATGCAGCGCTTGGGCTCTCGGATCTCGAACATTTCGTTGAACATCTCGCCCAAAAGGGGCGATGGTTTACCCAGGAATGTGGCCTCCCGTTGAGTGTAACGCTTCACATGCTCCAGGAAGTCAAAAAACCCGGCCACATTGAGATTCTCAGCCAGCGGCATGATGACATCGCTGCCACCGGCTATCAACTGGCAGTCCTCGTTCTCCTGCAGATGCCGGATGGCCTTGGCCAGCTCCACATACGAGAGATCCAGGTGGATGTCGAAGAGCACTGCGCCCACGGGCTTTTCAATGGCAAGGTGATCCACCAACGAGGCTGCTGTGAGGTGCTCCTTGACTTGCTGGAAGGAAGAGCGTCAGTTTGGGTATTTAATAAACACGAGAATAATTGTGTATCCATCAACTATTTAACAAATGTGTACCCTTTGAAAATCATATATTAAAATTCCAAAAGCTTCACTAAATTGCCTAGATACTCTTTTAAAACCACTTTGAGTTATCATAAGTTTTAAAGGTACTAGAAAATTCGGAAATCTAAAATGCAAGTCACAGCAAAGCCCTATTCCATATATTTATATGTATTTTGGCTGTTACTAATAAATTTTTTCTCTTACCAGCGACTCGAACTCGATGTTGTGCTTACGCAACGTCTCGTTGGCCTCCAGGGACATGAGGGAGAACACCCGCTCTCCCGGCTTGTGCTTCTTCAGGTACCTGACGATGGTCTTCACCGGATGAACGATGTCGTCCTCCTGGATATTCTTGGCGCCTATGTGCCGGAACTTCTCCATGTAAGCCTCCTCGGAACGGAAGCTGTTGTTGGACACAAACTTGATTTGCTTGCCGGCCGCTTTCAAGGCATTCACGGCGGGCCCGGTGTTGGGAATCCAGCCCACCAGGAGCCAGACAACGCCATCGCAGTCGCTGATGACCAGGTCGAAGGAATCGATGAACTGGCGCTGCTCCTCCAGGCTGAGCTTCAGAATGTGACGTGGTGGCGACATGGATATGGGCGGCTATATGTGGCTATATATGAACGGATGACGGATGCTGGTTGCGCGCGCACCGAAATTCAACAGCCGACTGACTGCCTTTGCCGGCATTTAACCTTCAATGTCAACGCATTGACATTGTTCCCCCGATTCCTCGGTCACTGAAATACCAATGTATATACATATATGTTAAGTATCTTTTATTACACGATTTAGCTAGCCGAGCTGAGTGGCTCGTCCGATAAGATTTCTTATGTAAATAGATGCTTCTTCTGAGTGGGAAGCGGCATGGAAGACGCGTGTTTTGTGTACTTCCTGGTCTTATCTTCGCAAAACAATGAAAACAATCCGAAAAATATCCCCTTTGCTTCCTAGTTATCGGGTTTTTGTCAACAACCATAGACGTGATTTTCCTAATTTTATCTGCACAAATTGTTCATATAACTTAAAACTTTTTTTTTAATTTTTCTCTCTGTCTAAGTTAGGAGAACATTTTTTGTTCGTCATCTACAATAAGCATTAATCTTCTATTTTAAATTTTGGTTTGAATTTAACGGAATTTTCAGTAGAACGTTAGGTGGTTCGATATACACACTTCTGTATGTATATAAAAGCTATCGATTTTAAAGTTCTTATGAATATGTTGGTAAATATAAAAACTAGTTAAATAATCATGTCTGGTATAACTTTATGCATTAATTTGTTGTGTTTTATTTATAATAGTTATATTTTATCTTAAAAAAAAAGATTTCATTTAAAGGAACTAGTTCAGTTTAAATATGAACTTAGAAGTATCGAATTTGAAATAAGTACACATTTCAAAATTTGAATAATGCCAAGCTTACACATATTTTCATCACCAAATTTTTAATTTTACGTTTTAAAAAATATAAATAGAACGCAAATTTTAAATTGTTAATATTGCTATTTGCTATTGTCTTTTTCCAAGTTATTCCATTTCACTAAAAATTCCATTAATTTTAAAATTTCTTCGATTGAAGGCGATTGACAGGATAATCGATCGATGCATCGGCCTTTTGTTTTCATGTAGTTGCTTGTTGCTTTTTGTTGTTCTGTCTAAGCTTATAACTATTGCATGCACAAACATGTACAGTAGTGACCCGAATGGGTTGTTATTTATTAACTGATTAACTAACCAATAAAAAATATATTAGCTTGCACCTTATATTTTAATTGCTTAGAACAATGTTTAAAGAGCAGGAATGAGGCATGCATGAGCGTGTTTCAGTTTGACAAAAGAAATTACAGTTGTCGTTTAATAAACTAAGTTCCGCGAATTTAAGAGCACCTAAAAAGGAAAACTACGTTTATTTTTTAAAACAAAAGGTAAGTAAAAATGTAATAAGTATTTGAAATACATATAATATGTTCTTGAATGGAGACTTTATATATCTATTCATTTTATATATTTTTTAAACTATAATTATTAATAGATTGTCTATTTCCAGGTGTGGATTTCCCTGTAGCAACTGGTTCCTCATACTGATAGCCACTGTACTGTGCCCTAGACCCTCGCCACACGTCAACACCTTGACATTGATTGCTGCGGTATTTGCCCAACGGAAGTGGCGGAAAGGAAAGGAATGGAATGAAAAAGAAACCGAAATAGGGGGAAACCACAAATGGCCAATAATTCAAATTCAAATGCAACATTTCAATTGGTGGTGTCCGGAAGACAATTGTTACCACGGCGGAGAAGGCAAAAGAACAGGCCAACAGGGCGTGCACTTGATATGTAGGTTTGGTTTTGGTTTCGGTTTCGGTTTGGGCTTTGGGTATATCACCACACATCACAAGTCGAAATCGATTGCCGGGCCAGCTAGTTTAGTTAGGCGTCTCTCTGATAAGATACGGGAGTACGAGTGGCGAACGCCAGCGGAGAATTCTGCCAGAAGAAAAGCACATTCTGGCCCCCGAGCTTGGAGCAACTGTTCCCGGCGGTTATACAACCACTAACATTCAACTAAAAAAATTCTGAAAAATGTCTGCGCTAGCCAATGGAGGACAAGAGGAGGATCTGAAAATTCTGAGTCAACTGAAGAGCATCGAGCAGATCAACGAGCAGCGCCGCATATTCCTTAACAGCACGATCAACGAGGAGGTTTCGGAGGACTTAAATGGTGCCACGACTCAGGAGGAGGACTTGGAGAAGGATCTGAAGCAGTTGGAAGGGCTGGAACCGAAGACAGTCGCCGAGGAGAAGCCAGAGTTGAAGACAGTTCCCGAAGAGGTGGCGGAGAAAGCACCAGAGGCGACCCCAAAAAAAGAGCAGGAGAAGGTTCCCGAAAGGGCTGAGCAGTCCAAGCCCCAGCCACCGAATACGCTCACCCTAAATGTTAAATACGCCACCCTACCGAGTCCCAATGTGGTGACCCTGCGATCCCCGCTCTCGCCGCCACCCAAGCCGCCCATGTTGGGACGCACGCGGAGCATAGGTGCCGGCGATGGCAAGAGCAACGGAGCCCTCTCGCCCGACAACTCCCTGATGCGCCAGAGCTTTCCCGAGGGTGTGCTCACGTCCAACAAAGCGGCAAAAACCCCAGTCACACCCATTGAAGAAGCACCGGCCACCGTTTCCGCCCGCCACTACGAGGGACTCATCGAGGAGCTAAGGTGTCCCGGTTGTGCCGGCGCCATGAAGGCACCCATACTCCTCTGCAAGAGCGGGCACAGTGTCTGCGAGCAGTGCACCCGGATTCTGCTCATGTGCCCACTGTGCAAGGTAAAAATTGACGTCAGTCCCATGTCCCCATGTTCGGTTATCAATATCATTTCCCCTCCATATTTCTCTTATCTAGTGACGTGCAAATATGGGTAGAAACTAACAAAAATTAGACGGAGATTGCGATCTTTGACAGGCGCAAGATAGAGTGATCTCCGGTTGCGATTAATGTTATTGCCTTACGGAGGGTGTTCTAATCAATTCTCAAGAGGACCCACTATCAGCACTATAAAGTAGTATAAATATAGCTCCTCCACTTGTTAATACTTTCCATAGTAAGTGGGGTTTTAAGGCGTCGTACTGCAGATAAAATATTCTCTTAAAACGGGGTTTCTAGCCTTAACGCATTAGGTATATTTATAGTCTTTATCATTTTTTTTAGTTTATTCTCTTAAGTAAATATTATACGGAATTTTAAACCATCACCATCTGAGTGAAGACTTACTTGTTTGCTTTCTAAACATATCACAAACTTGTTAGGTATAATTATAATGTATACCATCGGTAAAGGCAGATAAAGTAAAAAAAAAAGCTTATACTTAAGTAATGTTTCTATAGAAATTCTTCAAGAAGTCTCTCATTATTATTATTATTTATAAATAATAAGAAGACTCACTTCTTATGGATCCTGAAATGATATGAAATGAAAATTTGATATGATATTAGCCCAGTCACCCTATAACTTTCATATAACTACCCAATAATGATGGGATATCCTCTCTTTTTTAGGAACCGTTCACCAACTCCCGATCGCTGACTGTGGAGGCCCTCTGTGCCAAGGCGCACTTCCGGTGCGGACACGCTTCCGGCGGCTGCCAGGTGCGGATGCCAGTGGTCCTGCTGCCGTGGCACGAACAGCAGTGCATGTACAAGCCGATGAAGTGCTTCATGGGTCGCGTGTGGGGCGACTGCCGCTGGCAGGGACGCGAGGTGCAATGGAAGGACCATCTGGAGGAGAACCACGACGACCGGCTGTTCCGCTCGAGCAGCGCGGACCTGGAGTGGAATCTGGCCACTCGGCGGAAACCGCTGACCGGCTACTACGTCTTCCAGGCGCACGACGAGATGTTCAACTTCTACGAGATCCACGACCGGCAGCGCATCCTGTTCACCATGACCTGCACCTCGAATCGGCGGGACAGCAAGTACAACTACGCCTACGAGGTGACCGTGCTCCAGCCGGACAACGAGGCGCTGTCCATGACCCAGAAGTTCCCCGTGCACAGCGAGTACGACAAGGACATCCTCATGGAGGGCACCTGTGTCAGCATTCCCCTGTCGGAGCTCAATCGGTTTTTGGACCAGGATAAGGTGAGTTCTGAATACCGACTAAGACATCTTATCCCCATGTTTCAAACTAAAAAGTATAGTCTTTAAAAACCCTTCGGTTCTGGACTGATAAAATACGAGCTAAGGAAAATTTTATAGTTTCATTTTCCAAACCCATGTATCCTAGTTTTAAAGCAGTTGCTTTTGGGCTATTTTTTTCCAGTTTTTAACTACACTAAAAATCCTATTTTCTCTTTATAACTGAAAAATGTTTCTCAAGTTTTAACACTGACTTAAGTTTTTGTATAGCTTGTAGTTTATTTAATGCAATGCCTTTAAAACGAAAAAAATAATGTTTTTAAAGAATGTTCAAAATCCGATTTTATGTATTTTTTAAGACCGGTTTATTATCATCGCCAAAACTAGATCACCTTTTTCCTGAACTGTTTGTTCTATTTTTGCTAAAATGCTTTTCGAAGCTAGTAAAATAAATTGCACTTATAAGTGCCAGATAAGGATCGATAATTTATTTCAGCGAATGGGCGATAAGAAAAATTCGTACAACTTTTGCATTGAATACCACTTTCAGAGAGCCAGTAATTAAAAACTACATATATATAATTCTAAACTTATATTTGCTTTTAAAGTTTTAAAACAATTATGGTAAAACATACTTTGAAAAGCATAAGTAAAAATATTTAAAAAAATTGAAGCGATACAATTTAAAAAAACATTTTAAAAGTTTGAAGTAGTAAAACAAATGTGTACATTTTTCACATTGAAAAAAAAAAAGATTAATCCAAAAAGAAATCGTTATAAAATTATTTAACGTTGGTCCCGAATTTTTGGTTACCTGCAAGCGATTTTTGCCTATACCAATATTCTAAATATGTTTAAAAAAATGGTTAAATTTCCTAGGAAAAACATGTTTCTTTTGACGGTTTTTATACAGAAATAGTTTTTTAATTGTTTTGCATTCGCTAAATCCCCTTGTCACTCAGCAGGTTCTCCACTACCGCGTGAGTGTGCTGGCGGTCAAGTCACCGCGCCGAGCGAAACCCCCTCGACAGAGTCTCCCGCAGCCTGTGGACCTTGAGCAGACCCCGAATGGAGGAGTCAATGGAAAGAGCGTGCCGACCAGCATGATCATTACGCGCACCTACAAGGAGGCCATCGGCGAGGTGACTGCCCAGACCAAGGAGGCGGTGGCCACGCCGGACTCGGAGGAGGACGCGGTGTCCGCCGGCGGTGGTGGCGATGGAGGCCTGGAACTCGAGCGCAAGTGGGGCACACCGCAGCTGCACTTCAACCGCAAATATCTGCGGAACACTCTGAATGACTCCACGCCTGCGGAGGATGAACTGCGTCCCCTGGCTACGGATTTGCGCAATGGAAATGGCGACGACAAGCTCTCCCAGTGCAGCAATAGTACGAGTTATACGAAAAAGGTCTCCGATTCGCTGCGAAGGAGTTTCCGGGCCCTCAAGGCGGATATCGTGGAGATGCGGCCGTTCAGCAAGAAGTCAATCAAGGCAGGATCCTCCTCTCCCGTCCAAGCCAATGGCAACTAGTGATTCCATGTGCGCTTTTCTTTTTTTTCGCCTTAATTATACATCATATTTAACACTTCGGTCCAAAGCATGTAAATATAGCGAATGATTTAAATCTATTGAAATGTATACCAAAATCATAAAGAAATAACTTATAATATATACAATATAATTTTTAATATTTTCGTTAAACCATTCTAATAAATATGCAAAGTATTCGAAAGTAAAATTAAAGAAACTCAAATCAAAATGGGTGTGAAACTGTTTTCAGTTAATTTTAACATTTTTGTAGATTGAAAACGAAAATACAGGTTTATTTTCTTGTTTGTCATAATCTTACAAAAAAAAAAACTATTGTTGAAGTTACCAATGAAACGGATTGGATGTTGGTTCGAATGACCCGCTTTATCTAAGACTTAGACTACACAATTTACAGGACTCCCTTCAAGCGCTACAGCAAGCCCTGCATCTCGTTCATGAACTGCATATAGGCGTCGTCCTTGGTGGGCGGCTTGGTGTGTGACTCGGAGGGGGCGTGGTGGCCATCGTTGGCCGCATGCCTGGGCCTCGCCGTTCGCCGCTGATCCTCGCGCTTCACTCGCAACGTGGATGGCACAAAGCGGGTGACATCCGCACTCAGATTCCTGGTAAACAAGACAAAGTCAGTACATATGTATAGAACAAAATCTAAAGGCATCCCAAAAAACCCACCTGATTTGTGGCTTGGCTGTAATGGTGGTCACACCCTTGGCGGACTCCTTGGGCGGACCGCCGCCGCCTCCCTGCTTGTTATGGTGGGCGAGGCGAGGTGGCAAGCCCGGTGGCGGTCCTGGCGGCATCCTGATGCCCATGCGGGGCATTGGTCCCAGGCCATGTGGTGGCCTCGCTCCGGGCGGTGGTCCAGGCGGCATGCGTATGCCAAAACCGGAGCCCGCATGTGGTGGTCGCAAGGGTGGAGGTCGGTACATAATGCCCGGCGGCCCAAGATTGTGAATAGGCGGGAGTTGCGGCAGTTGTGGAGGCGCTGGCACCGACGACGCAGGGGGCAACGGAATAGTCGGCAGTGTCGGCGCCGTTGGAGGAGCCGGTGCTGGTTGCGCTGCCGTGGTGGAGGAGGATTTTACAGATGCTGGCTTGGTAGGCGGTTCGACTATCTCTTCGTCTTCATCCTCATCTTGATCGTCGTCGTCGCTGTCGCTACTGCTGGCGGATTTCCTATCCGAGCTAGAGGCTCGTTCCAAACGCTTTTCGGAGTCATCATCGTCCTCGTCGTCCTCCCGCTGTTTCTCCGCCTCGTCTTCCTTGGCCGCCAGCTTACGATGCTTTCGCTTGTGCACATGCTCCATTTCCTTCATAAAATCATCAATGTTCTGGTTATTCGGTTCCGTGGCCTCCTTGTCCTTGTCCTTGTCCTTGCTCTTCCTTAGCGACTCCTGCTCTTCTTCCTCGCCCTCGCCATCGTAGTCCGTATTGCCCTCGGCATCGGAATCGAGTTCGGACAGGGCAAACAGATCCGGCGGCGGTCCCGGTGGTACACCCAGCCAATCCTTTTCCTCGTCCTCCTTGGACTTCTCCGCTTGTGCCTCGCTGGCAGCTGAATCGCTGTTTTTAGCCACGCCTGGCGGAGCACCGGGGGCATAGGGCGGCAGTGCCATGGTCATGGGCGGCGGGGGAAGACGAATACCAACGGCGGCACCGAATCCCGGCACTACCGGTCCGCCAGCGGCGCCAGCGGGACCGCCTGGAATGGCCGCCGACACCGGTGCGGGCAGGGGAATCTCATCGATCTGGACGCTTTGGGCGTGCTTGACGCTCTCGTAGTACTGCTGCTTCTTCAGGCGCTTCTTCTCGTACTCCACCTCCTTGCGCTTGAGGTCCGCCCAGTGCTCGGGCTCGTCATTGTGCTAGAAAAGAAATAGAGGATGTTGAGAGCGGCAACTTATTTCGGCACACATTAGGCCAATCTTACATAGAGTCGCATCACGCGGTCGAAAGTCTCCTTCAGCTTTTTCCGCTTGTCTCGCAGCACCTTCTCGTTGAGTGGCGATGGCTGCAGCACGTTGTACTCTGTAAATGGAAGGCACTTCGTCAGTGGCTGGAAGAGATCAATGCTTTCTGCCGCGGTTACCCACCCATCTCGTCGATCTTCTCCATCTCCTCGAGTATCTGTGAGGGATCCTTGTTCTTCAGAACCGCCGCCCGCACCATTTGGCGCTGCCTCTTGTTCTTCTTGAGTTCCTTCTTGCGCGCCTCCTTGCCTGAAAGGATGTAGAGGTACGGCTGGTGGGTTCAATGTGTAATGTGGGCCCAATGGTGGTACTTACGCGCCTGGTCCGTGGGATTCATGTACTTGCCACTCTTGGTGGTGTTGATGGAGCGGCGCCCCATCTTCCCGGCGATTTACGGTGCCTGCAACTCAACGAAATATCAAACCCGAGTGGCGTGCTTTTAACCTTGTTGTCCGGTAGTTTCCTCCTGCCCTGCGTTTAAGTTTTCTTTAATAATAATGCTTTTATTTATTTATTATTCGTTTGGAATATGTTATCGCAGAACGATAGGTCCGATAGAACGGCTGCTGATATCGATTTTTCAAAGGCGATAACCCAGTGTGGAAATTAGCATTACTCTATTGCTGACAGTGTGGCAACCACATTAAAATCTGGCGGGACGTAGCAAAAAGCTAAATAAATAATTCAAATTTATTCTTCATATATATAACGTCGAACTACAAAATTGTGTAAACTCAATATTTGTCACATTTGAATTTGCGTAAAATAGCCGACAAAAGCCGAGTCAAAATTCAAGGATTCACCTATATGAGCTTTTCGGTAATATAACTTTTTTAAATGTTAAATTCTAACATTCATTGGTATTGTGGTGCATGTTATTTTATTTATAGTCAGAAATTAAACTTCTTAAAACAAATAGATCATTTTCTCAATTTACAAAACCACATACACCATTTTTTTAAACGAAGAAATTGAACTATCGGTTTGTTTCAATACACAATTGCCGCATGCACATTGCTTTTATTAGGTCGTATATAAGGTTTCATTAATATGATTTCCATTGAATGTAACCATTTTATATTGAATTGACTAATACCAGCTGCACTTTTATATAAGCGGTTTGCCTAAAAAACTTTTCCTCTAATGTTAGTACTATGTTAAAGTACCATTTTCATTGCAACTTGTGAGTGAAAACCTTAAAGCGTGACATTTTGTAGACAGAAATGGTTAAGGCTGATGCAAACTGGCGATAATGGCTTTTAATTTACCCGCTATAGATCACTTCCTGCCGTTTCCCAACACTGGAGGCCCGGCGATTTTTGGTTGCTTGTTAGCGGCAGAAGCCAATCGATTCATTTATACTATTATTAATAACAATATTGTTATTTGTTCGATAAAATGTCTGGGAATCCGGACAACAGTCTGGCGGATCTGCTCATGGACTGCAGCCTGGGGGACGAGAATAAGGACCCGGCAGGCAGTGACCCATCTGTCAGCCCGGTCAGTACAACCCGATCCCAACTAGTTCATTTGAAGTCGCCGTGCAAGGTGCCCCAAACTGAAATCCAGACGGACCCCAACGACAGTTTTTCATTTGTGGACGCCGACATCACCAGCGGCAGCAGCGTTTATTTGGTGTCATCTGGAGTGTCCAATGAGTCGTTGGTCAGCTGCCTCCACTCGTCCCAGCATCACAGCACCTCCGAGGAGCCCATAACCATTGAGGAGACCACAGACTGCGAGTTTGGGCACTGTTCACTGGATTCGGACACCAGCCGTGAGTGCCCGGCGTCAAAGCAACTAGGCCAGGTCAATCCTAACATGCACATTCCCATTCCGATTGCCCTAGGTCCTGGTGCCGGCGACATGGACACGCCGAAGTTCACATTGAAGCGACACTCCCCGGATCCCGCGGAACATGATCTTGAGATCAAGAAATGTGAGTGGTTAGGTGGGGAACCGTATCTTGAGAGGCTCCAACTTCAATCCGCGTTTCGAAAGAATTTCCTTTATATGTTAAGATCTAGCAATTCCATTGCTTTGAATGTGTAAACTTTAAACTATTGACCTTTAAAAGGGTAATCTTGTTGCGTGGAATTGTGTCCGAAGGGACCTAAATGGGTTCCACCTTATATCTTTTCTGTAAAGAATACTTCATCAATAATTAAGTTCACCTTAGATCATGATGACAGTCATTTTGAGACTAAGAAATGTGAGATGGAGATGAAGAAAGCACAGAACGATGATGCTCTTGGTGAATACTTAGTATCTCAATGCTCAAACCATTTGTTTCGCTTGCCATTCAAGCTGTATAGTAGTATTTGTAGTTATGATTCATATCCTATTATATAGTTGTTGGCTATTTTGAATAATCTTACACAGCATCGGACCGTTGAGGAGTCCGCTTGAAATTGTTTCTTTAGAGAATACTATTAAAATAACTATTCGTGGGTCGTAATTCTTAGGTCCTAGTGCTAGTGTCTCCACTGACGTCGCCACAATGAGGAAGAGAAAGTCTTCGGATCATAATGACAATGATCCGGCATGTAAGAAACGTGAGTTGATGAATTGGACACGAATTACGTCTGTGAAAATACACCATTATCTCCTGGTATAGTAAGACTGAAAGGTTTTGAGAGCTGAAAAAAGTACTTCTTCCTAATGCGAGTGCTCTTTCAACTTGTAAGAAAACTTTATCTTTATTTCAGACACCGTAAATAAGAGGGTTTTTTTTAAAAGGCCTACTGGGACTTTTTAAACCAATTAGGCGGGAATTAGTCAAGCGTTAATATAGTCGTTTGTTTTCCAAATTGACTGATGGTTTTATGCTTTGTCAGCAAGATAAAAAAACGTTATATTTAACGTTTACAATTAAAATTCGCAGTAGGTATTTTAAAGTAAAAACCATTAATAACTTTTATTTACGGTGCCTGATTTATTTACATATTTAAATTTGTTAAAAGTGAAAAGTTTATTTATTTTAGGAAATATTACATTTACAATGTTCAGATTCCATGTTATTGTCGATATTAGGTGGCACTCTCAGTTAAATAAGATGTGATTTTAACAAATTTAAATCATCACAAATATATTTATTAGTAGAACATGCGATGTAGATTTCTCCAATATGTTTAAATATCTTAAGAGGACAACTGAAGTGCAGTAAGTACTGAAGGTCCAACCAAGAATCTCTGTAGCAATAATTAAGGTAACATATGATAATATTAGATTTAATAATAGTTTAAAAAATATAACATAGACTTTGGGAATCCTTATACTTAAATTTAATAAATGACGCAAATGTCTTAGAATGTCTTAGTTCCACTAATAATAAAAACTTAACAAACTGCTCCTTACTTCGTTTTCCTAAAACTAATTTTTTTTGTATTGTCATTACGCAGTTCATTGCAATCTGGAGGAGATGGCCACCCCCTCGAATCGCTCGGTGGTGACGCGCAGCGGTCGTGCAGTTGTGCTGCGCATGAACAACGAGTTCGACTACTCATCCTCGCAGTCGAAGGACGATGGCGAGGAGGACTCCGATGATCAGTCGCTGGAGACCGACGACGAGGAATACCAGCAGGCTCTCGAATTCGTCCAGCCCAAGTGGCATGCGTGCAAGCGGCGCAGCCTGGGGAATAGCAGCAGCAGTGTCTGCAGCACCGATGAAAGCCACTCCTCGCCGGAGGCAGTGCCGCCGATTGTCTATCTCGAATTGGGCGAGCAAGTCGCCATTGTCAGGGACGAGCCAAAGGCCAATATCGTCCTCGAGGATGATGGGGAACTCAAGACGCAGGTGCATAAGTTTTTGGGTTTGATGGCGTCACGTCGCAGGCTGTACAATCCAGCGACTAACCTTGATCCGGAGTTACCGGAACAGAATGAGAATGACATATCGGTCAGTCGTTTGTTGGATTTATCCCGTTCCTCGGCCACAGGCCTTATTACTCCGTCACCCAAGCGCCTTACTCAGTCTCCCAGAACACCGACCCCCACCTGGTCAAGCCTGAACTTATCGCATCGACGTCGCCCAACCCTGGAGGAGCGCCAGACGAAGGTGTTCGATGACATGGTGTTGCAGGCCAATGCCAATTCGTACGAGGAGCAAACGCCGGATTTCCTCAAGGAGCCCATCGACCTGAGCGATCTTCCGAGCCGGAAACAAGTTGCCCTCATCTGCCGCCGACACAAGAGCAGTATTGCCTGCCTGGAGCAGCATCCGCTCTTCTACAGATTCGTCGAGTCGCTCAACCGTGAGTTGTGTGTGTGTTCCAGGGTTTCAATCTGCTTACTTAGCCTCTGCCTTTCAGCGAGGACCTCGATCAACATGTGTCATCCGCTCGCGATGACCTATAGGGAGAAAAATTTCAATGACTGCAAAGTTGCACTGGCCAAAGTCTTGTTTAATATGTTCAATCACGCCATCTTCCACTGCGGTTTGATAGCGCCAATCGTTTGGAAGCGCGGCATGACCACGTACTGCAAAAGCGAACTGGAAATCGCCGCCTCCGGAAGGCGCACTGCTCGCATTCTGCTGTGGGAGAACATCACTCAGCCGGGCATGCTCATCAAGCCGCTGCTCCATGAGATGTGTCATGCGGCGGCCTTCGTTTTCAACAGGGAGACGGGACACGGCGACAATTGCCGCAGATGGTGAGATCCAGATCTTGGATGCACTATATATAAATATTCAGATACCTAAAGGGGTCTTCCTTTAGGGGTTATTGTAGATTAGTTACCCACATCATTGCTTATATGTCATTATCGTCTTTCACTCACATGTATCCTTCATTCCTTAGGGTCTACCAGGCAAAGAGCGCGATGCCGGAGCTTCCGGTGATCGAGGACTGCCAGGCCACCTTCAAGTATACCTGCACCATGTGCTCCCGCTGCTCGTACGGCAGGATCGAATTCGAGAGGGATCGGCTGCGCTGCCACCACTGCCAATTCGAGGTGGGCGTGAAGCTATGTCGCAAGGACGACATCTGTCACGGCACCCGGCCGGATTTCACGATAACCCCCTTCAAGTCCTTCGTCCGCGAAAACTACATGAAGCTGGGCGAGGAGGGCGGCAGCACGCACAGCTCGAAGATGAGACTGCTTAACGAAGAGTACAACAAGATGAACGCTCCGACGGGCTAGAGCGCAACACCTTTGTTACGTTTTAATTAGTTTATATACTTTATGTTAACTACCAATTCACAAACTATTTTATGGCGAATGAATTCCAACTTGGGACCCTCACAAGAATGCAGGCGGCTAAAGAGAAACACTGTGACATACTTATTATATTTTAATAGAAACTAAAGATTTTTTTTAAACAAAATAAACAGAGCTTTAACTTAGCTGGTTCATGGTCTAATTTAACGGAATATACATAGTGTTTAGGTTGGTAAGTTTCCGTTCTATACAAAAAAAATATATCCTCTCGTTTTTCAGTTTCTGTAGTCTAGTTTAAATTCAACGCTTACCAAAGTAAAGTCAACATGGATTTTCTAAATATACCAAGTATAAATACATTTATTTTTAAATCTTCCAAAAGGATTTCTTGGGCCCAGGCTAACCCATCATTCCCTTGCTGCGCTTGAAGGCCGCTCCCGCCTTGCGATTGTGATTGGCACGCGAGGATTTGTGGGCCTCCTTCTGCCCACGGTTGCGTTGGGTTTGCTGGGACTGTCCCTGCCCCTTGGGTGCTCCCACGACAGAGGGGTTGGACTGCTGTCCAGAACCTCCTCCGCCTCCGCCACCTCCTCCTCCTCCTCCTCCACCTCCACTTCTCTGGCCGTACTTGGCCATCTGGCGTTGCTGGTAGCGGGCGCGTATCACCTCTGGATTTTCACAAAAGTCCTTGTTGTTACGTTTGGCCGTCTCCGTATCCGATCCGCTGTTCGAGCTCTCCTCGTCGTCGTCCTCCACCTGATCCTGTGCCTCGTAGGCGGAATTGGAGGCGGCGCCCTGCAGTCTGGCCCGCAGCAGGCTCACTGGTGGCGCCTGACCCTCGTTCAAAGCCTCGTAGCTGTCGTCGTACTCATCATCATACTCGCCACTCTCTAGCGGGGTCTCCTCGACCATGGCGTACTGCTGGTAGCGCTCCTTCAGTTGCTTCACATCACTCTTGTCATCGAGCAGCTGCTCCGCATTGCGCGGCGCTCCGGGCAAGCCCTTGCCCTGCTTTATGATGCACTCCGGCTGATCCCGCGTCAGCACGTCGTAGCGATCGCCATCATGGACATTGAAGTGGCGCACGCCCGTTTGGCGTTGCAGCTTGTCCTGCGGATCGGGTGGCACAAATACCTCCTGTCGATCCATCTGCGCCAGATCCGGTGGCAGATTGTCGTCCAGTATGGCGGCAATCGCCTGCTCGCTATTCTCGTAGCGGGTGAGCAGGCGCCGGATAAAGCCCGTGCCCAGATCGGGCAGCACGTCCAGCACGGCGGTCACCTCCAAGTCGATGTCCCTGGTGGCTCCGTTGGCCGTCGTAGACGACTGTGGAGATGTGCGCGAGGAGTCCTCGTCCTCGTATTCGTCCTCCTCCTCGGTGTCCAGGTTGCTGACCATGTCGTCGGCCATTATGCCGCCGGGGCAGCTACTCAGGGCCTTCTGGTAGCCGGCTATCACAAATTCCACCTTGTAGTTTTTGCTGGCGATGCAAAGATGACTAATAACACAGATTGGCTTTTAAATAAAATAGATAACTCACATATTCGGGCAACGTTGGAGCAGCAACTCCATATCGTTCTCTAGGGGAAACTGTCGCTGGTAGTCCACCACAAAGGTCTGGGCGGATAGGCACTCCTGCAGCAGTTCCACCAGCTGCTGGCCCCGACCCGTCTCCATTTGCAGGCTGACAATGCGACGGATGACGAAGAGGAACTGCTGGCGCGTCTCGTTCAGCCAACGCAGGGAGCAGGCCCCCGGGTTAACCATATAGATGTTCTTGTACAACATGGGCACGGTCATGTCATAGAAATTGGCAATGCTGCGAAAGAGAAAGAGATGGCTAATAGAATCTCGCAAAATACTAAATACTAGAGCTTTCAAAACGCAGCGCACCTTTGACCCAAACGCAGTTGTTCGATGGTCTCCACCAGCTCGGGGCACAGGAGCAGGAGCAGGCGCAGCGTGTAGGCGCAGTCCATGGCGAAAAGCACCACATCGTCGTAGGGCGTCTCCAAGTCCGCGTCCAAAGGCGCCCCGCCGCCGGCGCCCTCGCAGCCCTCGTTCTCCACCTGAATCTGCATGCTGAGGAAGGCGCTCTCGTAGAAGGCCAACGCCTCCTTCAGATCCTTTCGGTACTCCGGCTGCAGGCGCAGCACTTTCTCGAAAATCTCGCGCAGCAGTTCCACATTCGAGGGTTCCGCGTCGCCCACGGCAATGAGCAGATCAAAGAGCATTGGCACAGAGATCAGGTAGTTGCTGTACAAAAGGCTGCTGTGCTGCTGGGGGCTGATCCACTCCGAATCCGACTCCTTTCCGGTGCACAGTCGCATCACCAAACGCACGACGAGATCGAGGAGCTGCCCGTACAGCAGGTTGGCCTGCTCCAACTCCTTGTCCTGGCTGGCCTCTGTTTGTCTGTAGTACGGATTGGCACGCTGCAGAAATGTGACAATGGCCGCCATGGCCGACTCCTCGTAGACCATATAGGACCAGAATCTGGCGGAGATTACATAGGAGTATTGTTGGTACAATGAGGGGAAAACGGATCGGACTGCCACACTCACTCGTGCTGACTCAGGCTCAGCAGGAACTCCATGTCCTGGCGGCAATTGTTTGCCGCAAAGGTCCACTCTTCCAGTGCTGCTCCGGTTTTCAAATGGCCGTAGGAGCCCATCAGGCAAATGTAGCTGCCAAAGGGCTTTTCGCGGCGCACCCAGTGCTCGTCCTGCCAATGTACACACATTAATTCATCGCCTGAAAACCAGGATGACCACCTACCAGTGCCGGAACATGTCTGCGCACCCCATCCTGTCCAGAAAGCGCTAGCTTCAGGTCGCCCAGAGGCAGCTTTTGTGGGTTGCAGTTGTTGTTGTTGCTGGCGTCGTTGTCCAGCATGGCGGTTGCTTAACTTAGCTAGGATTAATTAATTACTAGGATAATTGGCCTAATGGAACGTGAACTTTCGCGAATTTCATGCAGCGCAAGGTGGCCGCAAGTTGGCGAGGTGGCGCACGAAAATACAGCTTGTGACGTCGAATGTTTTGGTAAAGCGTTGCCAGAGGGTTGGCGGGAAAACAGTGAGCGGTTTCTAGCGAGAAAAAAGCTATAACACAAAGATAACGAAAGATATTTAAGCTTTGTTACATATGTAATTAACTAATTTTGAAGGCAAAATCTAAGTTCTGAAACAATTTTAAAAAGTATTTGTTTTTTATTTAATAGTTAAAAATCGTTTGTGCACAAGAAAATCAATTTTACAACAAAGTGAGAGCACATGAAATTTTATACAAATGTTTATTTTAAGGTCCAAACTGAAATCTTCAAAAGGATTGTGTACAGAAATGAAAGGGAAGACCTTCAATATTTATAGTTTTCAGGAAAAGTTCATTCATGACTAACAAAAGGCAAAAATCTAAATTTAATAACTATATTTGATGGCAATCCAAAAATTATACAATTTTTACTTTATTACAGGGTATTACATTACCATAAAGTTTTTTTATAAATAGGGAATGTTATCGATAAGTGGCATCGATAAGTAGTCAAACTTCAAACGCTGGTCTCCAAATTATTTCAGTTTGTTCGAAACTCCCAAGTGGGACTTGCTCTTTCAAGTTTTTTTCCATCAAAACCCCATTAAACTTGGGATTTGTTTATTTTATGTGCTTTGACGTGCTCGTGGTTTTCCAAATTAAAAGTGATTACCCGGAGTAGAAAGTGCAGCAATGAAGCCATTTGAAGATCTCAAGGTTCCCAGCTTTACGGTGGAGCACCAGGGAACCACTTTCACGTACGCCAGTCCGAAACTCGGAGAAGCCTCCTTCGACTTTTTAGCGCAAACGATCAGAGGAAAAGACCCGAACACATGCAGAATTGTTTTGATTTGTCAGCAAAACTCCGAGGCCGAGCATCTGAAATCGGAGCTCGCCGGTCGTGATGTGAACACTATTCTCCTGGAGGCGGATGACCCAATGGCCCACCAAGTGCTGCACCTCTGGTCAAAAGGGGTAAGTTTGGGTTAAAAATCCAATTCATAAACACTCATATGGCCACAAAATGGCTGTTGTATATAAACGCTTGCATATCAAATAAAAAAAGTAAAAATTGTAAGCAGCAACCCTAAAAAAAATGAAAAAAGTTAAAGTTAATCATTTTTCTATTAAAAGGTTTTGACTTTTCTTGGTCACTTATAATTAATGACAAGTTTATTGTATCCTACTTCCAGTACATCCACCAAGCTCTGATTCTTTGTGATACCATGCTCAACTTTCTTGAGGGGTTTGAGGTAAATTTCGTGATCCATACAACGCTGCCGCCGTTGAAAAAGTTTGAGGAACGTTTGGAGTGGTTTAGTAAGTCGGAAATGAAAGCAGAGATGTTGGTTATAACTGCTCAAAGCGAGGAAAATAAGATTTCTGGAAATAATGCACAGGCAGAAATGGGGGAAACCCCAAAGAACGACGTAAATGGTATTCCTAAACAGGAGGGTAAATCTGTCCCGGATCTGCAACTACCTCCACAAAACAAGTCCTTCAGTGATATAAAACCAGTGGTCAAGATGGACCCCAAATATCTTCAGAACCTAGGTGAAAAGGAAATCGAAATATTTAAATCCTCAAAAGACGGTAAAGCGCAGATGGAGGCCTTTGCTAAATCTGTATTTTATCCATCCGGTCCGATCTCTGGTATAAAAGACTTAAATTCTCCTGTAGCGCTCGAGAGAATCCCAAAATCTTTGGATGATATACAACTAAATGATAATAAGAATCAATCATCCTCAAAGGTAGACGACTTTATGGAAAAGTTTTTAAAACTGGGCTACGTTGAGTCCCAAAATACAGAAACCCCTAAGTTTGATCAGGAACCAAATTCTTTTAAAGTAGATGAAAATATGTCTATAATGCTTCCACGATGTAGTCCTTCAAAAGGTGAATCTCCTCCACAATACTCTCCGGCAGAAGACCTTTCAGTGTTAAGTACCAAATATCCAACGGAGGCTTCGGAAGTTGAGTTACAGAGCTTGTTGATGGCATGTAGACTTCAAAGTGCTCCCCAAGACTTGGAGCCTGTACCTCCTCCTCCCATTGCCCCCATTGGAGAGTCCCCCTCCCTGGAGCTGCTTCCTGATCTCTGTGGCATTGATGATACCAATTCCCTGGATTCGTACCAAACTGTGGAGGACTCTCCTGTCGATCCCTCGGAGGGTGCCCTTACTGCAGGGGGAACGACTGCCTATAATTATGGCGTTCTGGCCTGGAGTCGCCATCTGGTCGCTCCGTGCTACGATCTGGGCGGACTGTCGGGCATAAGCAACACCACCAGGAATGCCATACACCAGCTGGGTGTGGACAAGTCAAGGGCCAAGGCCGTCCAGAGATTCGCCTGGCCTCATGTCTCCTCGGGGAAGCCCGTGATCGTTGTGGGCAACTTGCAGACCGGCAAGACCTGGTGCTATCTGCCCACTTTCTGCCAGCGGAGCCACAAGGAGCTGCAACGCCGTCCAGTGGATGGCCATGGACCCACCAGCATCTTTGTGTGCTCCAATCAATCGCAGGGCAATCAGACTGGCCGCTGGATTGACTCGCTCCTCCGCTCGCTGGACAATGAGGTGGCCCTGGAGGGTGTGGTCACCTGCTGGGACAAGGACAATGTGGCGGACATCGCCTGCCGGCTCAGTCAGCCCGTTGGAATCCTGCTGACCAGCGTGCACATGCTGCTCCAACTGCTGTCGCATCACTCCAAGAAGTCGCCCATTTTCGATGTCCGAGCGGTGAAGTTTATAGCCCTGGATAACTTGAATGACATGGTGCGCTTATTGCCGGATGTCACAATGAAGGTGCTCAAAAGGTTGCCCGAAATGTTCGACTTTGCCCAGAATAAGTGCCAACTCTTTGTGTCCGGGCGAAATTGGCTGAATGATTTGATGGTGCGGCGCATCCTGCCGCTGATGCCCGATGTCCTCATCCTCTTCGATGACGCCTTGGAGGCCAGCATCTATGGCGGCGTTGAGCTGGACACTAGGATAGTGCCGGAGGAGCAGAAGATCAAGCACTTGGTGGCTGTGATCAGGGACACGAATCGCACCGACGAGCGCACGGTTGTGGTCTGCTCAACCGCATCCGAAGTTCTCCATATTCGCCATAAGCTGGGCAAGATGGGGATGGACGTGCAGATCTGCATCTCGGAGGCGAACTACGCCCAAGTCAATCAATGGCGGCGGAAATCCCCGGCCTGTCTGCTCCTGGTCACAGATGATGTGGTGTCGAAACTGAGGTGTGGTTCCATAACGCTGCTCATCCATTACAGCTGGGACACTAGTTGGATGCGTTTTAAGAACCGCTTCAGCCTGTTCTACGGTAATTACATGGCGATTCCACAAAGGGAACGCGGTCAATCCGTGGTCTTCGCCCGGGAAACCGATGTGGATAGCATCTGGCTGATTTCCAACTTTCTGCTGGAGCATGGGCTACCAAGGCCCACCCGTTTGCTCGACATCGTAGCCCAGCATCGCCTGGCGGAACCGCTTAATACGGCTATGCTCAAGCTCTGTCGCCAGTTGACCGCTTATGGGGATTGCCTGAGGTATACCTGCAGGTACCGCCATCTGTTGTGGCGGCCGGAGGTCCTACCACCGGATCACTATCCCACCGAGGGCGAGATTCGGTTTACGGTCCTAGGTGTAAGTATTTTGTGTATGATTCTAACCAAAAAAGCATGTGTAAAACAAATTTTCTTACTCACTTTTAATGTGTTCTCCAGTGCAACAGCCCAGCCAATATATCGGTGCGTCTGAGCGATCAATTCCCCACGATGGCTCACTACCTCAAAGCTCCGATGACCAATCTGGGCCAGCAAGTGCAGCGGCACTACGAACTGGAGGAGAACCGACGCAGGCACCCGAATCCTGTGCCTGGGGAGAGGGCGGTGGTCAAGAACCTTAACCGATACGAGCGGGTGGTCATAGTGGACGTGGATAATAGCAAGGTCTCGGTGCAACTGTTGGACACGTCCATTGAAATCCTCATTTACAACGCTAGTCAAGTGTACATCTGCGAAAAGATGTTTAAGGTAACCAATATAATATCCTAAGCCATTAAAATATTAAATTATAATCATTATGAATCATGTCTATTTATATCCTATTGTAGAATGATATATAACCTATCTTAATATGAAATAATACAGTTTTTACTGCATCCTAAGTAATATATACACAACCTTAAACTTCATCATGTTTGATTATAAGTGAATTTGCTTATTATTTATAGATCCTAAGCAATATCTTTTACTAGTTCGACTGATTGTCTTAAAATATACCGAACTTATTAGACTCTCTCTATGTCATATTGTATTTCATCCCAGGTTGATCTTAAACAATATTATAAGTATACTAAATAATAAAAGAATATGCTTTTAATTAATAGATCATAGGTAATATCATATACTACAACTTACTTTATCCTTATAGTAAGTGTAATCATACTTCAAGTAATATAGTTTACATATTAGAACTGTATCTGATTGTATCTTTAAACCTTTACAGGATCGACCGAGGGAAGCGATGGAAGTGAGGATCACTGGCCTTGAGCCAGGAACCCTCGATCGCATTTGGCCGGAAGATGCGCGCAATGTGGTGCGCAACCAGTTCTTCAGCAGGACCCAAAATAGACGGAGCCGCAAGTTCTTTGCTGTTGTGCAGGCCACCATCCATGAGACCATCTTCGTTCGAAATGTGTACGATAGTGAGGGCAACGACCTCCGCACCTTCGTTACAAATCGCTTCCGCGTTTATCAGGAAAAGCGTTGCCTCGATAAGCTTATTAGGATGGTCCAGAGCTCCGTGCCCAAACCATGCCCAATAAGCCACTAATTTTATCAATTGACTTTTTTCTCTTATATCCCTAATGGGTTTGCATTTAAACTTGAAACGAAAACGTTTTCACATTTTCATATGATTTTTGAAATTTATTGAACCATTGCATTTGATTATTCCTGCATTTAATACATAATGTTTCATTATGGATAATAATACATTCCTCATTCTGATATTGAATTACTCTGTTAATCATGATACTTGATGGCATTTTTACTTGCTTTGCTTTTATTATATTTGCAATGATGCTTTCGTATAATAAATTGCATGAACCTAGCAAAGTCTTTCAATTTTGGGTTGCATAATCATATAATATGTTGTGTTGAGGATAATTGAAAAGCATGAAAACATTAATCATTAACTTGATTAAAAATCAAATATTTCAAGACTTGACTAGGACATTTTAGATCTGATTAAATTGTTGATTTCTGCATTATTAATAAATCCTATTTACTTATAGAACCAAAACGTATTATTTCCTTTGTTTATGTGATCTATATAAATAACGGAAAGTACGAGGACAGCAAAATAAATATATCTCAATTGAGTGTTAAATATTTAGGCACTAATCGATATTATAATAATACCCATTAATTTACCATCATTTGTCACTGTAACTTCCATATCTAACTAAAGAACCGTTTGATTTTCGTGTGAAAGTGTATGTCCATGTCCATGTGTAAAGTTCGCGCAATTAATGTCGTTTTCCAATGTCCTAATCATGCGACAGCTCGATGAGGTAGGCTCCAAGTGCTTCCCCAGTGTCGCAAGTAGTGATCCCTCCTCGTTTTCCAGGGCAAGTGCCACATCTGTAAGCGGGTTTTCTGTTGCGGCAAGTGCCGTCAGAATCATCAGTTCAAAGCCCACGCCATTGCTGTGCGAGAACCATTGGGATTGAGAGGCTCCAGTGGCGGCGGAGGCGGAATCATGGAGTACCGCCATCAAATGGAGTCCGGAGCGACCACTATCTATGTATTCTGCCCCATTTGCGAGCGGCAACCACTACTGCTCCGCGAAGAGATGCACGGCGAGCTGCTGGCCCACATCGAGACGTGTCACCTTCCGTTGAGATGCAGGAAATGCCAGCGCAACTATACGCGCGTCGATGATCTGCTGGAGTTCAGCAAGTGTGTGGATCAGCAGCAGAGCTGCACGGAGACCAGCGGCAATGATCTCACTGGCGAAACGGAAACCTCCAAAGTGACGGTAAAGAAGGCGCCCAATAGCACCGCCATCTCCACGCAAACCTCGCCGGGCGTAACGCCCATTTCGCTAATCAATATGCGCTGGAAGGCCAAGAGCCGCCTCACCCATGAGGAGTTTATCAGCGACAGCGTCTCCTCCATACGCAACCTCTCCTCGTTTAGCAACAGCTCCATTCGTCGTTCCATTGGTCACCTGAGCGTGAATCCGCCGGAAACTGCGGTCAAGGGAAAGGTCATACGGTCAACATCCACGCCACTGCAGGTGGAATCCGTGTTCGCCAAGCCCAAGGAGCCGATTGTCTTCAATGCCTCTAATGGCGGTCATGTGTCCAGTATCTACCATGAGGAGCCCAGTCCGGCTTTGGAGAACAATCCCGTCCAGCCGCAGCAGCAGCAACCGTTGCAGCAGCGCGCCTGGAAGATGGGCGCACGGAATAAGATGAGCGCCGCCACACCGTTGCGCCAGGTCATGTCGAAAAGCATACAGAAGGCCTTCGTGGAGCACGGCGGTATGCTGGTCCACCAGCCACCATCCGCGGTGATTCAACGTCGCGTCCGCCTCGATCTAAGCGAACACAGTTCTTGCGAGGCGGCAGGATCCTCCGCCCTGGACCTGCGACTGTCGCCAGCCATGCGGCGCACCCAGAGCGAGTCCAGCACCTCGGAGGTCAGCAGCAGTTCCAGCTGCTCACGTAATACCGATCTCTACAAGCGTCCGTTTCTGCTTTCCGCCCAGAAACTCACCACAGAATCGATCATCATCACCCGAATGAACTCCAACTCGCAGGAGAGCTCGTCCACGGTGTACAATTCGTGCGAGAGTGTGGAAATCATACGCTCCACCTCGGAATCGGCCGACCTCCATGTCCATGTGCCGGCCATAACGCCCATCCGTGTGACTGGCGCTGGGATCAATAAGAAACAAATCAAGTTTGAGACGCCGTTGAAGGGGGGAAGCCTAGAGTTGGTGACGCAAGGCGAGGGCGACGAAACCAAGGATCAGTTCTTCACACCGGATCCTGGGACGCCGGAACGACCAGATCGGCGTAATCGTCAGGCGATTGTGCCGCGCCAGCTGAGCGGCGAGTTTTCTCCCAAGAAAGAGAAGGCCAAAGAGAAGGATATGGCTGTTTTGGCCCTGGTCTCGCCGCCAGTTCAGCGTCCCAGGGTGCGTCCTCCGTTGCGCGAGTGTCGTCAGCGGAGGGTCTTTAGCGGTGTACAGGATGTGGGCGAGCCGGAGGACCCGGACGAAGAGGAGGACGTGGTGTTCCGGCCCACGAACGCCTCCACGCGCAACGACAAGAAGCAGGAGCCGCCAAACTCCGGCCGCCTGTGGTCGCTGATGACCTCCATGATGCGGCTGCCGGCCAGCCTGCGCGGCGAGAAAGACACGGAGAGCAGGGATCTGGATCAGGACAAGGAGAACGCCGTCTCGGTCTCACTTATCCGCCGCTGCGCCTCCATCGCTGGCTCTCTGGTGCGTCCCAGTGGCAAGGAGTCGTCCTCCATGGAGGACAACCAGAGCCTCAAGAGGAAGCGCACCCAAACGCTGGACAACCAGTACTGCAGCCCGATGTCGCCGTCCAGCTCCTCGAAGCGCTACCGCATCCGGCCCAGGGAGCCCATCGAGCGCATGCGTCGCCACTAGGATTTAAGCTTTTAATTGCATATTTGTGTTTTTATTGTGAATTTCTTTTTTTAATAAATGTTTGGTCTTGCATTTGCCGTTATGCGGAGCGTTGCCACCTGGCTGTTCTATAATTTACAAGACAGGAATATTTTATCGGACTAGCAACTCTGGTAGCTTTATTTAAGGCCTTTTTACTGTTTTTCAGTTGATTAAACTCTTAGAAAGCCATGAAAAAGAACTTTGTAAATATATTTCCACCCTTTATTTGATGGGTCACTATTTAATTTAAACAATTTAAAGCCCAATATAACCCAAAAGCTCAGCTTAGAACTTATCTCGTGTAGAGGGGTCTTAAGCAGAGCTGCCATACTGACCGAATAATCCTGTGTGAAAGTAAAAGCGGAATTAATTAATTTAACTGTATTAGATTAAGAAACCAACGTTTGTGGGATGTCCAAGTTGAGGTCTGGTGCACATCAGGCGCCATCCTGCGGTGCTGGATTTGATGAGGCGGAGGCGGTCAAGCTGTGGATCCACTGCAGCAGGTGCTACGAACTGTTTGCTGAGAAGAAGTTCAACTTCTTCATGCTCGCCTGTCACCACGTTTTCTGCGAAAAGTGCATCAAGGTGGCGGCCGGACGCACGCCCACCGACGCCCCCATCTACGAGTGCTCCACCTGCAAGCAGAGTGTCCGCGGCCGCCAGGTGACCAACACGATGCCCAAGCACTTCAAGGACTTCTTCCACCCGGAGCCCTGCACCCTGGCCAACGACCTTGTCGAGAAGTTCCAGCGGCGCAACCACCGGCACTTCGACAGGTTCAAGGAGAGAAAGGTGCGAATAAGTATATTTTACGATCCTTAAAACAAAGACCTTGCAAAACATATCACATGACATACACTAAAGATTCCGCACTTTAAAGTACTAGAAAAAAGGTGCGGATCAGCATTAATATATATGGATTATATTATTAACTATGTACCATTGTACCTGTTGCTTAAAAATTACTCTTACAAAACATTCGTTCAGTAAGGTAATTAGGGAGCAGATTAACAGGGTCAAGCCCTAAAAAATCTCTTAAATTAATTTGGAATATTTAAGCAAAAAAATTATACTAAATACTTGATGGCTTCCATTTTATTGACCCAAAGGTCTTGGTCGGTAGCGCTCTATTCATAAGTTAGCACATACATAGTTTTGAACTTTAAGTTAGCTTTATATAGATAAAGAAAATATTTAATTGAAACATTCTTTTGTCTCCGCAGGAAGTCGAGATGAACAAGTTGAACAAGGACATCGAGTTGGCCAGGACCTTGTGCCAAAAGCGCTTGCAGGAGATGCAGATGCTGCGCGTGGAGCGCAAGAAACTTTCGCAGCGGATGCGGCATATAAAACTAGAAAATCAAAAGGCGGAAATGCTAAGGTTCGAATTTTTATATAAGTTTGTTTTTATATGCATCGACGTTTATTATTTCTATACTCCTTAGAATTGCCCAGGCCAATCTGAACCGTTCATTGGAGACGACGAAGTCATCATCACCTGCACCGGACTTAATTCGTGGACGCATTCGAGGTCGTGGAGCCTCTCAGGCGCCAAGTCGACGAAGTTCTAGGGACTCGAATCGCAGTTCTCAAGCTAAGCGAAGGCAGGTCACCGGCTTTAGGCATCAGCCAAACCACTCTTTCAATCTTTAAACTAATATTTAAATAAGAAAAACTGTTACCCTTACTTACAATATCGATAAGTAAATTAGCTTGAAACTCATGTAAATAGCTTGAGACTAAGAAAGTAGGATATTCTGATAATGTACAATTCGTTACGTTTTTGTTTGTGATCAAAGGTACATTAACCATTACTTACACAATATCAATAAGAACATCTGAATAATTGTTTAGTTTGAATATTAAAGTTAATTCTCATCTGAATAATATTTACTAAATATATAGCTTGGAACTTGAAAAATAAAATGTTAGCACAATGAGTATCAGAGCCTTTTTCTGTAAAAATCGTTAAGAACAAAGCTATGAATTTACATTAATTTCTTGCACACTCCTGTTAAATTAACATTCGCTGTTACCATTAACAGGAACGCCAACACTTTATTCGATAAATCGCATCGTGAAACAAAACAGTGAACACAATCGATGCCTAAATTATCGATTGTATCGAATAAACATCTGCCAAAAACGCATAAAAAGAGTGTATTAAAAAAAGAAGCCAAACGTCAAGAAAGCGGCGAATCCGGCTATTCCCGACGCTGCGAACCAGGACAAGGACACCGGATACGGATTAGGAGAGGATGATGACCGGCAAGGTGGGCGGGGTGGTGGTGCTCAACTGCCGGACGTGCACGCGTGCCTGCAAGCAGCACAAGCCGCTGCATGAGGAGATCGAACTGGGACCGGAGGGCAGCACAACGCTGGCCAGCATGCTCAACTACTGCGCCGGGCTCTCTTTCGAGCCGCAGGACGGCGCCGCCATGCCACAGCACATCTGCCTCAATTGCCTGCAGCTCCTGGAACAGGCGTTCAACTTCAAGCGCATGGTCATCGACTCCGACGAGCTTCTCCGCCTGGGCCTGGACGAGGCGCAAGGCACCAGCCACCAACACAATCAACAGTGCCAGCAAAACCAGCAGCAGCACCATCAGAATCCCGACCAGCAACAGCACGCCGGCGATCCGGGCGAGGAGTACCTCATGATCGAGATGCTCAACGAGGAGCAGGAGCCCGGCACTGTAAATAACTATTATATATTGGTATTCTAAGATAGAATGGGTAGTGTTCTTTTTAGACCTTAGTAAGAGCTTTGTTGATCCGATCGCTCGGTACGATGTTTTTGGTGCTTATTTCAATTAGCAATAGGAGCAGGGGCGTGACCACTGTAAGAACAGAAAAGAGTTAAGTTTATTGGACTATAACAACCACAACTAACACAATGGTATATGGGTTCTTTAAAATATATTGGGGTAGGTTTAATTGATAAGTTAGTATGTAAGAGTCTGGAATAATCAACAAGTCTAAGACGTGTTATGCAAATTCCAAGATATTTCCATTTTGATTTATAATCGAATTTGATAAAACGAAGGGCTTTTGCCAAGTTTCAGGTAGAATGCCATATAAGTGTCTCACCTAAGATCCTTAATCATTGCATTAAGGTAACATTAAGTATGTTATTATAAAATAATACCTTTAATGACTTCAATCTCTTGCAGTTGGAAGAACAAGAAGTCGAGGCCGAACCTCACGAGCACATGAACGAGGAAGAATTCGTCATCGAGGAAGTGGCCGATCATGAGGAGGAGCTGACGGAGGAGGATCAACAGCATGAACAGGCGGGCGGCCAGGAGGAGCACATCACCATGGAGAGTGTTCATGAATTTCAGCCCGCCGAAGTTGAGTACGTGACCATTAAGGATGAGTTCGAAACGATCGTCACTGAGGAAGATGAGATCGAGATAATGGACGAGTCCGGAGCACAAGACGAAATACTGGACGGGCAGATGATTGTGATACCCGCTGAAGGAGCCATAGACGAGGTGATCGGGGAGGAGGCCATCGAGCTAGACGAGAACGAGCGCGAAGAGCATCTGGTAGGTGGTTATGGTATAACATACACAAGGAGTCAACTCATCCACAATTCCTTACCCACAGCTGCCGGAAGGGGAGGATGTCTGCGAGGAGGAGGACTTCCTGGAGGAGTCGCTGGACTCAACGCCTCTGACCACGGGCGAAGCTCTTCCGCATGTGTGCTCCGTGTGCCAGAAGGCGTTCCGCCAGCAGTGTCGACTGAACCAGCACATGCGCTCCCACGTCGACGAGAAGCACTACGAGTGCGAGGAGTGTGGCAAGCGACTGAAGCACCTGCGCAACTACAAGGAGCACATGCTCACCCACACCAATGTCAAGCCGCACCAGTGCAACATCTGCGATCGGTTCTACCGCACTACCTCTAGTCTGGCGGCCCACAAAAGAACGCATGCTGAGGAGAAGCCCTATAACTGCGATCAGTGCGGCCGTGGATACGCGGCCTACGATCACCTTAGACGCCACAAGCTCACCCATACGGGCGAAAGACCCTACGCCTGCGATCTGTGCGACAAGGCGTACTATGATTCGTCCTCCCTGCGCCAGCACAAGATTAGCCATACCGGCGAGAAGGCCTTCACTTGCGAGATCTGCGGCGTGGGACTGTCCCAGAAATCGGGCTACAAGAAGCACCTGCTCGTCCACACCGGCGCCAAGCCGCACAAGTGTCCCATCTGCGATCGGGCCTTCACCTTCACCAGCAACCTCAATGCCCACGTCCGCCTGCATTCCGGCGAAAAGCCGTTCAAGTGCGAAGTCTGCATGAAGGCCTTTCCCACAAAGAAGCGTCTGAATAGCCATTTGCGTGTCCACAATAAAGAGACACCGGTGATGGCCACCGCCGGCGGGCAGTCAATCGATAACCGCCGACGAGCGGTGGCAGGAGGAGCAGGCGGCGGAGGAGCCGCCAACCTGCACCTAACCGAAGTACCTGAGCAACCGGTGTCCACCTCCAAAGTGGTGGTGGTACTTTGAGCGGGCATCGGCCGGAGGGTGCGGCTGTAGAGTGTAAGACTAGACTAAGGTTTTTACATTTACGACTACGTGGATCTGTTAGAAATCAAACACAATAAAAAGTAATGACACTGTACCATGTACATGTATTTTTCTACCCTCAAATAAAGAGTCTCCTTAATATTTTGGGAGTATGTATTATATATCTATTAACGATATATGTATTTTCCAGAAGGTGTAATCGCTATCTTTGATAAGATAACACATCGTACTAGTGGCTCTATTAAGGACTTTTGAAAATGAAACACAGGGTTTTTTCTTTTGTTTTTGGTTTCGCTTTAAGGTCATCTGTTTATAATAATATTATTATGATTACATTGCCAAACAACAAAAACAAGCAAGTTTAGTTATTTATTTAAACAAAAACATTCGCCTTATCCTTATCCCAAAGGAGTAATAAAAAGAGCGTGCCTTCCTTTCCTGCGCCCTACTCCATCTCTTAATCGATGAAAATTATGGCCAGTGTGCTGCTGCAGGGGGTTTGTTGTTTGTTGTGTCTCCCGATTTCTGTGCTTCGGGGCAGGCGGAAGGTTAAGGTATGGATATGGAACGGGGTGTGCGGGATGGCCAGCCTCCTAACGCCCCAGAATGTTGCGCGACCACTGCTTGACCATGGGCTTGGTTTTTGACTGCTCGATGCGTTCCGCCTCCTGCATTTGCTCGGCCAATTTGCGCTGATTGTCCCGGAACTGACTGATGGGATCGTCGAATTGGCGATAGTAGTGGAGTACCTCACGCACATCGTCCACATTGTTCTGGGCAATAACTAGGGAGAACAAGGCACAATGTTTATTACAGAACTCAATCCAGTTATTTGGGGCAAAACTTACTCTTCAGGAAGGCAATCAAGTCCAGTAGTTGACCATCATCGTCATTGCCATGCCAGCGGGCCAAGCCGAATGTATTGTCCGGATGCATTTTGGTGGCATTCGCATCCCAGTCAATTACAATTACCTAAAATGACAAGTTATTAAAAGATACTCTTACTTTCAAGCAGGCATATTAGGCACACACCTTTTTCAAGTCGCGATTCAGGTTGTCCAGGTTCTTTACGTGGTGCCCGTCCACAAAGTGTGTGGCATCCCTGACCAGGCGGTACATGATGTACCCGTTGGGATCGAGGGCGTCCAGGATGGGGAACACGGTCATGCCCTGTTCGGCAGTGAACACAACGATCTCGAACTCTTTGGCGCACTCGGCCAGAAAGTGATCAACGCCGGGACGCTTCTTGAAGCGCCAGCCCGTCTGGTACGTCCAGTCCGGATGCACCAGCACGTCCTTCATCTCCAGGACGAGCGTATAGCGCGGCTGCACATACGGCGGCTTGAGCGGATCGGGTAGCAGCTTGGCCCGCGACGGCTCCTGGATCATACGCTGATAGTAGTGCATGCTCTTCCACATTCGCTGCAGATATTGCTGCACCAGCGGCTTGTGTGTGAACTCATCCTCGATGGTCTGCCCGTTGGGATCTACCTCTGGCTTGCCGAACTCGTAGACGGCCCACAGGCCAGCGGCCACACCGCCGCCGCCAAAGATTGCGAAGCTGCAGGAGAACGGGATTCAAATTTTCGGTAAGTAAAGGTGTGATCAAGGAAGAAAAAGGCCAGAAAACCTACCCCAGCTTCATGCGCTTCCAGGCGCGCTCATTCTCCTTGGCCTCCTCCTCCTCGCGCTTCTGGCGCTCTTGCTCGGCGGTGCTGTCCACCTCGGGCGAGGTCTGGGGAAAGAGCTTGGCCAGCAGTGGGGCATTTGAGACGGGTGGCGTGGCCTCGGAGGTGGCTCCTCCGGCGGCTCCTCCAGTCTCCTGCTCTGTAGTGTGGAAAAGGCGCATGATTGGATGGGAATCTGGTGGCTTGTGCAGTGGGGATCACTTACTGGTGGTACTGCTGTAGCCGCGAGCCGATGGCAGCGATGTGGAAGTGGACAGGCGCGATGAAGCACGGCGGTGGTGGTGGGCTGGGTGATTACCCAATGCGCTGGGCTGGCGGATTCGGGTAAGAACGCGCGGCGAGGTCAGGCCGCGCAGCATCTGGAGGACGGTGGCCGGTGCCATGCTCATGCTTCCTGGATTCGGGTCCTTTCGCCGATTTTGAGTCCTGCCCGCCTAGCAGGGACTTTTTCTTACAGAATTTCCAATGAAAGATTTCAACCTCGCACCGGCACGGCGTTGGCGTTAGGGATAATTGGTGGCCAGTCGCCAGCAGGCGTTAGTACATTCAGCACGTGGTGCTCCGTTATTGCGAAGCGGCTATTTTCAAGCCAGTTCCGACGAATTTTGTTCTTTACCGTACTTATACAGCACCACGATAACAAAACGGTTATTAACTTTCAATTTTAGGATTAATAGTATATGTATGGTGGCTAGGCAAACTCGGCCCAATGTTTAATAAAGAATTAGTAAATTTATACAAAAAACATTTGATGTTAGGACTTTTATATTCCTAAAAGTTCTGAAACATAAATGTCTTGACATCAAGTGTTTTTACAAAGAATGCAAAGTAAAAGTGATTGTTATGAGGACATTTTTTTCAACCAACAATAAAGTTAACAGAAAAATTATAAATATACAATTTTAAAATTTGTCTAATTTTTAAACTCTTGTGTGTAAGGTAAAGAATAGACATTGGTTCAGTATTAATAAAATTTATTGAGTTCAATTTCTTTTTAAAAATGTAAACAGGTACACAGACACCATTTCTAGTTTTCCGTGACAATTGGATCCTCCTGAGTAAAAGCCCCACACAAACTTATGTTCCATTACCTACTGGTTCCGCGGTACAACTAAGAATACAATAAATATGATTGGACACATGTATCTTGAATATTTTTGCTGAAACACACTGCAAAACTACATACATATATTACTAAAAAAAAAGTCACCATGGCCATGGCCCATGTCCATGTCTTCGGAATTTGACGTGAAAGAGGAAAGTTTTTCATCATTTCATTGATCCACTAAAATATAAATGTTAAATGAAAGTAATTTTTATTTCGGCTTAAAGCAATTTTATGAGGATATTTTATTGGACTTGTATAGCAATAAAACCATTTTTTGTTTAATTATCTACTCCTATATGTTGTCAAATTTAAAATACATAAGTCATTGCAACCTATATAAGGACCCAATTATCATGGAAAGTAGAAATGGTTTCTGGAAATTTCCTGTGTTGGTAAAAAAAAATATTTAGCTAATTTCAAGCGGTTGTGCTGTTCTCCATGTAGCCTTTTTGAGTGCCAACACTAATGGATCAGCTGATCTCTAACGATATTTGAAAACAACACTTGAGTTTGGGACGCTAAAGTTAGTTTTTAATTTGGTAATCGCCACTGAAGTCTAACCCATGGCAACCATGTCGCTGGCTGATTCGATGGAGCTGCCGGCCAGCCCTTTGTCACGCCTCCAAACGCCCATGGACGCCCTGTGCCGCGTTTGCCACATTTCATCGCCGCGCTGCTTGCCCCTCTTCAAACCACTCAATAACCTGATATCCGGAAAGCTAACTACTCTGGCCAACATATTGAGCTACTGCAGCGGTCTGGAGATCCTGGAGACGGAGCTCTTCCTGCCCCATCACATCTGCCCGGGATGCGTGGCCAAACTTCGGCTCTCGCTGGAATTCAAGCGGAGTGTCCACCGAATGGACAGAATTCTCAGGCAAAGTCATGCTGACTTTTGCCGCACCAAAAGGATTAATGAGTTGACAACTACCGCCGGGATGTCGCATGACATCACCGAGGATCTTGTCTTTGTGATCGATGACCAGAAAGTGGAGGAGGAGCCTGTAGAACATATCCCAAATGAAGAGGAACAGCTGGTTATTGAAGAAGATCCAGAGGAAAGTCGGGAGATAGAGCCAATGCTGGTGGAGGATAGGCTGGATGTGCAACTAGAAGCTCAGAACGAGTTTCCAGAGACGGCAGACCAAGAAGAGTTGGTTCACTTGGATGCTAAAGCTAGTGAAGATCTGTACGAGATTGTCGACGAGCCGGAGCAAACCCAAGAGCCCTTGCCCAACAAAATCAAGCCTGAAAAAACGCCCCAATCGTCGCCTCAGTGTCTGGTAAATTGGCTAAATTAGGAATAAGTATATAAAAATCACTAAACAGACTTCCTTTTTCTGCAGATCCGCAAAAGGGCCTTTCGGTACCACATAGCCCTCCATGACCCACCAAAAAAACCTCCGAGAACTAAAGAATCCCTCCGAATAGAGCCCCATCCGCAGGTCAAAGCTGGTAAAGATCTGTACGAGATTGTGGTGGAGACAGAGAAACCAGCAGTGGATGGCGAGAAGCCTTCGGCCAGCAGGAGCAGGCAATGGAAGCCACAAAACCCCTCATTGCAGTGTCAGGTATGTGCTACGAGCAAATATTAAGAAAGCAAAGATGTCAAACCTTTTTTCGGCAGATCTGCGGCAAACAACTAAGCACCAACAACTCGTTCAAGTACCACATGCAGCTTCATGGCACGGCCACGCCATACGTTTGCAAGATTTGCGGCGAGTCCTTCAAGACGCGCAATGCCCACGACGGCCATGTAACCCTACACGATCAGAACAATCCGAACAGGTGTCCCACCTGCTTCAAGGTTTACCGGCAGGCCTCATCGCTACGCACCCATCTCCTAATCCACACCGGCATCAAGCCATTCGAGTGCAACATCTGCGGCAAAAGGCTGACCCAAAAGTCTGGCTACAAGAAGCACATGCTTACCCACACGGGCGAGAAGCCGCATGATTGTGATATCTGCGGACGAAGATTCCGATACTCAAGCAACCTGATTGCGCACAAAAGGTGTCACAGCCAGGAGAAGCCGCATCATTGCCAGGTGTGCCAGAAGCGAAGCTTCGGCAGCCGATCGGAGCTCAATCGCCACATGCTCGTGCACAGCAGCGAACGGCCGTTTGGCTGTGAGGAGTGCGGCAAGTCCTTCAAGCGACAGGTATCCCTCAGCATCCACCTGCAGTCGCATAAGGAGGGCATGAAGCGGAGAAAGCTGGACCAAAAAGTGGACGAGCTACGGGAGGAGACCTAATCACAAACATAGACTGGACCCTTTGAATCTCTTGATATACTTCTTATTTAAGCTGCGTGCTCCGGTTTTAACTTTTACATTTTTGTTTTGTTTAAAGCCCGATACTTACCCCAATCAAAAAGGCAACGAAACGAAAATCTCTATACCAAATTGGTTCATGAAATTTGTCGTCTGCCATTCTTGTATGGAAATTTTCGCCTGAAAACCGGATCATGCCTCTACATTAAATTTTTGTCAGTTTTATAATTTTCAAAACAGGAAAAATGTTGTACTATTATCCATTAATTTTAAGTTTGAGTTGTGCAGCTTCTTAACCATGGCCATATAAGTTCCATAAATAACAATAAGTCGTATTTTTAGTTTGTTTTTATTTTCGGTATTCGCCTTTGTAAAATAACAAGTTTTAAGTGTTGCTGTTACAAAATACGCTCTAGGATTAAATGTTGTCCCTCTGTTCTCACCTAACTTATGTATTGTATATATATTATATATGTTTAACAAGGGGCGGGAGGCGTGGAAGGGGTAAACATTTCCAGACTTGTAAAACGTTCGAGTCTTTTTTCGGGAATTGGATTTCTTAGGTGATTTAATTTATTATGCGGAGAATCTCTATACATATGGAAGTTTCGATTGGGTTTGGTGTTACAGGCTTAACTATACTGAACCGATCTTACGTGCTAGAAACCAATTAGAGGAGTGCAGAACGAGTGTGCGAGCGAATAGACAAACATAAGGGCTGAGAATTCTTTAAAAAAATGGGGAGTTATCGCGTTCTATCGCATGATACATAAAGTTAATGTATAAATAAATATATATGTTTAGACAATGTGAGTGCTTGCTAATACTTGGCATACATAAAATGAGAATAGATCACAAAAAGTCGCATAAAAACATAGATGTTAATTCATATAACATATGGGATGAATAATATCAGTGAGTTAAAATAAAAATGAGACATGAGACGTGCAGGCACTCATGGGATCCCACTTGGATAATCGCATCCCTCTCATCTTTTCTCAGGGTCCGGATCCGTGTAAGTAAACGAAGAAGACACCACCGGATTCCCACAGTCGCCACTGCTAATCCTTCTCCTGCTGCTGCAGCAGGGCGGCGATCTCCTGAAACTTGTGACGAAAGTCCACGCTGCTCTCGCTGATCACCGACATGCTCGACGAGGGATCCTTTAAATGGTTAAATGTTATTTAAACATTTTTTCAAGAATAAGTTTTGCAATGAGAATTACCAGAATATCCCTAGTGGCATCAATCTCATCCAGATGCCCCAGCAACGATGTCAGTGAGAAATCATTGATGTTGTCCTCCAGCCAGCGCGCATTGGATGTTGATTCCCTGAGCAAGTGCATCGGGCTTACGCTGCCATGGAAGAAATTTTGTGCTGGCAGGGAATAGACAAAATTTAATAGAGGGAAACAAAATGTAAGGCGTGTTTTTCCTTAATACATCTACATTAAATATGCTTAAATACTAATAAACAAATCAAAGATATGTATTCAATATAGAAATTTAATGAAAGCCTCAATTTAAGCAAAACAAAAAAAACACGAACTCGTTTCATGAAGAATGGTGTGAAATCAAAAGTAAAGTTTGTAAAACCCGAAACCGGGCTTAAATATATATCTTCCTACTTGTGCTCTCATCTTGGACCGCCTCGGCCAGGGAACTGCTGACGCCGGCGGTGCTGGTTGCCACACAGTAGTCGAGGTTGGGCATGTCTCTTCCGCTGCCAGGATCGGTTCCATCGCTGAAAAACTGTATCGCCTGCCGATCCTCTTGCTGCTGATTCTGCGAAGGCATCGCCACAGCCATGCTGGAATCTGATCCGGAGCTGATCCCACTGGAACTGGTGCTGCCCATGCGATCGATCGGTTCGAAAAGGCCGCTGTGCAGCTGGCGGACACTCAACAAATCGTACGGACGATCGCCAATGGATGCGGGGGGCAGGAGTCGACGCTGCACGAGCACGTGACGACTGATCTTTTGTCGTGTAAGCTGTGGAGATTAATACATTTACAAAGGATTTTGAGCCATTCCACTAACAAAACCCACTCACCGCTGAAAGCTGTCGAACGGGATCCATGTTGACTATCGGTCGCCTCACTGGCAACATCGGGGTGCGGAAGTTGCCCTCCATCACGCCCACTGCACCAGCTGCCGCCGCTTCCGTCATCTGTTGCGCCTTGCTCATCAGATCCCGCTTCCGATCGCAGGTGTGTCCGCAGTTGCATTGGCGCTTGCGCACACGCTCGCTGAGATTGGCCACCAGCAGCAGGTGCTTCAGCTTGTTGCTCACCGACGATGTGGTGACGGCCTTGACGCGTTCCACGCTATCACAGTCGTTGGGATTGTAGGGCAGCGAGGAGGAGCTCGCGGTGATGGCGGGGGAGTTGAAAGATGTGGTTGTTTGAGCGGCGGCGAAGGAGGGGCCTGTTTGGGTGGCCACCGACGAGGAGCTGGCTGCCACAGCGTTAGACGAGGCAGTGCTGGATGCTAGCGCCGTCGAGCTCTCCATCTCACACCAATAGTACTCCAGCTCCAGCTTGGAGTCCTGGCCAAAAACCACATACAGGTCACCTATGGTAATATCCGCCGCATTGGCCTCCGTCCATCCCTTGCGTATTCGCTTGAGGATCTCATCGCTGAGCAGGGGCTTAAAGTTTCGCGCCTGTGCCGCGGCCGCCGCCTCTTTGGCTTCTTTGCGCTTGGAGCGAGCTGGCGGCTGGGCGACCAAGGGACCAGCTGCAGGAGTTGTGGGTGCGGGAGCAGTTGAAGTAGCGGCGGCAGCTGGAGCTTGCAGAACTGAGGTTACCGATGGAGTGGGTAGCTCGGTGGTGGCTGTAGGAGCCTGCGTAACAGGATCTGTGGAAGTTTCCGGGGCAACAGCTGAGGCATCAGGGGTGGATTGAAGAGCTGCAATTGTGGTTCCCTGTGTTTGGGCCGTGACCTCCATAATGTCACCGAGAAACTCATGAATCTCCTCGCCCAACTCGTCTCCGCTGCTATTTTCCAGCTTCACCAGATTTCCCTCCAAGGGCACATCATCCAAACTCTTCTCCAGCGGCGGACTGGCACCCGGTTTGGGTTTCTTTGTCTCCGGTGAACGCTTTTCGGAGCCGCTTTCGGTTCTGGGTCTCTTGCTGGCCGCCACCGTGATGCCGGTCAGGTTACCCAACGTCTCGCTGCGCACTTTGAAGCCCAAACGCTCCTCGTAGGCGGTTAGGCAGATATTAATGCTACTCAAATAGGCGGTGATGCTGAGCAAAGGTCGGTGGATGGCCACTCCCGGCCTGGGCTGGAAGCACAGGAAGGGATCAAGCGATGAAGCCGCCGGCTGCAATGGCTCCGGTTCATTGTTGTTGTTGTTGTTGTTGCTGGTGGCGTTGGAGGCAGTCGATGCCAGGCTGCTGGGGATAAATACGCTCTTCTCCTCGTGCAGACGCTGATTGGCACTCCGCCATTTGTACTCGAATGTCTTGATTAAGCTAATCAGTTTCTTGTGCAGCGGAACTATGATCCTGCCGCGCGGATTCTGAGCCAGGGATTGCACCCGACCGAAGGCCTCCATATTGGCGGGCGTCACCACCACCTCCACTTTGCTGGGCAGACGAATGTCCTCAAGGGAATCTAAGGGTTGGCAAGCATTTAACACGGGGGCAATTTGGAAAATCTCTAGAAGGGAACTCACCATCCAATTGATTGAGGCGCCGAAGCGCCTTGCACGATGGTGTCTTGATTCGGATGTTCTTCCCCTTACAGCGCACGATGATCTGTCCTTGGTAGACCAGTTGCTTTAGCTTCATGAAGTGCTTCTCTGTGAGGAACTGCAACTTGCGACGCATTTCGCCGTAATTGATCAGCGTGTACAATTCCTGGGCGGGCTTTTTTAACTCTGTAAAAGTCAAGATATTATTATATGTGGGGTTGCAATATGTTGTAAAGATCTAGTCCAAAAATATTCTAAAAACGTGTCAAGTTTAACTGTTGGTAACGATATTAGAAGGTACATAATATCTTCCACAGCTTAACAATTCCAAGAATTTGAAATTACGAAGGGGAATCAGAATATTTACATTTTAAAGTTCCTAAAAAGCATAAACAGATTTCTTATAAGTGATGACCGATTCTCAGAAACCCTTAGATTAAACATGTTGATGCATGCATTTCCCAAGAAACGAAGAAACAATGTTTTTACATTATTAATATTTAAACTTTTTTGCAATAAGTCACAAAAAATAGTGAGGAAATTTAAATAATTTCCGTTTCAAAAAAAAAAGGATTGCTAAGATATGCTGATCTAGTTTACGGTTATTTTGTACTGTGAAAGTCTAGAATTTTCCAATTCCAATTTGATTCTCAGAAACTCAAAGTTTAAACATGTAGAAGCATGAACATTAAGCGCGCAAATTATATTTTTCCAAGAAGCAATGAGGCCATTTTTATAGACAATGACACTGAAAGGTTTTAAGAGTAGTTTATAAATAAATTGTCTAATTTGCTAGATTGACATTTAAGAAATGAATACAGCTTTCATTTAAAAAAAATAAATGCTGCGCAGATTTGTTGACCTAATTTGCGATTTTCATTCCATGAAAGTCGAGAATGTTCCATTGACCAGCTAATGATGGGCCCTGCTTACCTTCCGAGTAGCGCACATACTTGCAGATCTTGTGATAGGTCTGGTAGTAGTGCTGGCGCACCTGATCCTTGGTCTTGAAGCTGTAGTCGCTGCTGGCGTTGCGCCGCTTTAGCTTGGCATTGATGCAGTTGGCCACCGCCTCGAAGTCCTTGCCGAACTCATTGAGGGCATCGAAGAAGCAGTTGCGCTCGACATTCGTCCAGGTGGTCTTCCCACTGCCCGTCCTCAGCTGGCTGGGCGTCTTCTGGGCGGCCTTCTCGTCCTTTTTGCTCAGCTCCCGTTCGTTGGGAGGCGGGGTCATCGGACGCGTCTGGTCCTGCTTCATCTTCTGGATGACCCGGGCACTGGCCCGCGTTCCCGGACAATTGTGCGTGGTCACCGAGCCCAGGAGCTCCTCCTCGGGCAGCTCGATCTTGAAGTGGACAGCTCCTCCTCCTCCTACTGCTGCTCCTTTGCCATTTGGAAGCGGCTCCTCGATGGCAATGGCCGACGGTGGCGCCTTGCACGGGTCCTCCATGTTGGCCAAACCACATCCGCTTGTCGCCTGCACGGTATTAATAATTATAATATCAATTAAACTGCGTAGTCTTTTGGGAAGAGTGGCAAAAAATGGCGCTTGCCGCCGCCGGACTGTCGGATTGTTTGTTATTGTTGCCAATCCGCTCACCCTGGAAGATCCGCCACTGACCAGAGGTAATCCGCGACTCTTTGCTAAGCTCCTGCGGGCACTCACCTAAAAATCGGACATGGAAAATTGGTGCTTTATGGCTATATAAAAAAGATTATTAACGAGACGCCAGGGATTAGAGATG